AGCCATAGCGACTCCTAGGGTAATGACTCTCTATATAAATACTCCAATAAAGTAGAAAATAAAGACTCCTAGGTTCCAAAAAACTTGGGAACACAGGTAGCCAGCCTGGTCCCTCCAGAAGTTCCAGACTATAGTTCTAATTAGGACTATGATCAATCAATCAACAGGCATTTATTAAGTGCTTACTATGTACCTGGCAACCCATATCATCAATTCATCCAGGGGCAAATAGATCAGCTGGGCACAAGGCAGTGAGATTTATCCAGCCTGTGTCCAGATTAACCTATGATGCTGCAGGTAAAACTGAAGAAGTGGTTACATTAATGTTTACCCATGTAATAAGTGCCTTATATGTAATTTGCATGTTCATTGATATACTATTAATTATTGCATGTCCTGAATTATGTTTTTCTTTCAATTATTTTGCTGTTTATTAGATTATACAGCAGTGGCAGGCAAGTATTATAGGTGTATTTATTAAGTATTATAGCTATATTTTTCTATTATGTATTGTAATACTGTTTCTTTATTCATTTATACATTAATGCCAAAGCATGTTCTGTTATTTTGTAGGACTAATGATATTATGTTGCTCTCACTGCTGTGATAAGAGCAAGCACCATGCTTGAATGTAATTTAGACATGTCGTCACTGAAGCAGCCTTCCCATCAGCGCTTGGAGTCAGGAAGATCCAAGTTTCCTGAGTTTAAATCCAGCCTCAAACACTAGCTGTATGACCCTGGGAAAGTCACTTTATCCTGTTTGCCTCAGTTTCCTCATCTATAAAATGAGCCAGAAAAGGAAATAACAAACCCACTGTCTTTGCCAAGAAAACTTCAAATGGAAGAGTTGGTTATGATTGAACACACACATGTTCCTATTGCATATACTCTGAATATTTGCTATGAACAGCATCCTGAGATTTTCTGGGATGCTGGGAAAAATCTTCAATGTTTAAGTGCTGATATTTTACTTTGGTGCTTGTGCTGTATATTTGCTAGTGTCAAATATACCTTAGCTGATTTTTCAAAGGCCTGCCAAAAGGTTTGGACGTGCAGCAGAGGGTGACGGGGATCAAGCTGCTTGCTAGTGGTCAGTTCCATTTTCAGGGTCCTCTGAGGGGACCTTATTTATTTAAAGGCAAATCACCTTGAGGGCTTTGGACCCTGATCTTGGGCATGGGGCCTATAGGTAAGAGAGGCAGAAACTAAGCTGAGCAAAGAGGTACAAAGAAGCAAGTGGCAAGGAGGAGAAAATAGATGATGTGGTAAGCATATGAGAGGTCAAGAGCCAGGACGTTGAGGACAATGCAAGCATGAACCATGTCTGTGGTGAACCCTGCCCTGCTCTTCCCTTCTAGAAGTCCTTTCTCCTCCTGGTGGTTACAGACTGTGACTGCTGCTTTTAAAACTGCTATCTTTGTAAAGGGCATTGTTTTAAGTATTTTCTCAGTATAAATGTGAAAAATGTGTTAAAACTGATCATTCAAATCTCTGCTAATTCTGCTTAGCACCTGAGTACAAATGGTCAGACTGGAAACAATGGATAAGGAAGATAAGGAAGCAGATTTAAAGTATTGAGATGTTATGAAACTTACTTTGGGTTCAAGCTAGCTATTTCAATGAAGGTACAATACATCAGAGAGAGAAAGACAATACTATTCAGGGTGCAATTCTTCCTAAAACAAGAGCAGATAAGAAGCCCTCAGCTGCAAGCAGGCAAATCTCTGGCATTTTGTATTGCCGGGGTCAGTCATGTTGGTTGGCTTGGTTTTAAAGGAAAGCCGTACACCCCTGAGGGCAGAGAGAGCTAAAAGCCAGCAGAGCCTCCACAAAAGGAGGGAGTTTCTCCCTACCAATACATTGACAATTCAGCCTGCTTTGCTCAGTAGAACATTCATATACCAAAGGTATATGCCATTCATATACTATTCAGCCCAAGTCTTTGTCTGAGAATAATGGAAGGCTTTTTACCTAAGGATTAGGCTTCCACATCATCAGTGCCACAACTCCTCAATCTATAATGCCTTTCATACCCAGGTGAAACCTTAGAGCATTTATTAAACATTTACTCTATGGCAGGCTCTTCAGGGGGATTATTTCTGGTTTATGGGGCATTGGGAAGCTCAACCTCTCCCCCTTCAAAATTTGTTCTTCATGGGTACCCTAAATTTCATGAAAGCTATTCTCTTTAGCTATGCATTACCTTCTCCCATGACCTATTTTAATAGTCACATTGTCACCAGTACTTTCGTATATCAGTGCTGAGAAAGAACAAGGAAGCATAAGAACTACATTCTTGGAGGGATATTGCTGAAAGTTGATAGAAAGGAGGGGTGGGGCATGTTTAAGGCAAATTGCTATTTTACCATTCTTTTCTGAAAGTCTCTTCTGCATATTTGTAGTACCCCCAACTGATGCATTTAGGGTTATGTTGCTACTAACTTTCTTCTCAGTTGACTGATATTTGGTTCAGTTCTCCCAGGGTGTTTTGTAGGCCCTCAGTTGCATTTGTTTGAAGTTTTCTTTGGGTTGGCTTGAGCATTCTTGAAAGATGTGTATGCTGCTCTTTCCCCTTTGTCTTTATTTCTGTTAGGATTGGCACTCTTTAGGAACCCTATCCAATTGTCTGTCCTATGCATTATTTCCTCTGGGGACAGAGTTTCACCAAATTGGCTAGCTACTCACCTAATGGCAGCTAGGTGCGGTAGTAGATAAGGCACTGGATTTCAGATCTTGTTTCAGATGCTTAATAGCTGTTTGACCCTGGACAAGTCACTGTTAGCCTCAGTTTCCCCATATGTAAAATGAAGATAACAATAACATCCACTCATAGGTTTGTTGTAAGGATCAAATTGTATTTTGTAAATCTTAAAGAACTACGTAAGTGCTATAGTTATTATTCTTATCTATTACTACTCTTACTTATTACCACTTGAGAGAATGAGACTAACTCAGATCATAGAAGTCAAAGCATTATTGTGTTAGGCATTCAGACTTAGTTCAATGGCATTTTGTATTTTGAATTGCGTAGTAATTTATAGTATTTAAGGGACATATGGTTTAAACATCATGAAAGATGACCCAGGGTTACCTCCATGTTATGCTGAGACAGCAAGGTAAACCTTTAGTGGAAGTCTTCTGTACAAGTGGGGCATGAATCAGAAATTCTGTTATTTGGAGCCTTCCAGCATTACTCAGCTCCTTAGACTTTGATTGGCTCTCCAAATGACTGAGGAAAACCTAAAGTGAGGTAGAAAGTGGCCAGGGTAGTTTAGTGTGTGCCCTCATTCTGAGTCAGGAAAGACTCTCTCCCCCCAGGGTTTTGGAGCTGAGGGGGAGCGTAAGGGTGGAAAGCTTCTCTGGAGGAGTCAGGAAAAAAGCCACTCTCAACTCATATCTATTAAGCATCTTATTCCTGTATGGGAGAAGCAACTTAGCACAATGGATAAATTGCTGGTCTTGGAATCGGTTCAAGTCTCTCCTTTGACATATGCTAGTTTTGTAACTTGGCAAGCCACTTAACTTCTCAGTACCCCGGCTATAAGCTAAGTAAGACTATTTGGTGGGTGAAGTTTGCTCACTGGGTTTTTCCTACATCAATAAAATCATACATTAGGTTCTCCCCTCCCAAATCTTGTTCCTCTATGATTAAGCGAGATCCCTGAATACCTCGTCTGTGTTCTGGATGACTTTTTGTTATTTTACATTGTAAATTCCTTAAAGGCAGAAACCATGTTAATATAGCTTCCTCTGGGTCATAATATGAATAGAAAAAGTTTGACAATTGCTTTGAGTAATGATGAAGATGAGGATGACGATGGACATTCTGCCATCCTAGAAACATTTTTCAGTCTACTTATCAGTATGGGTCTCTAGGATGCAAAATAAATGGGTAATTGAAAATGTGGATAGAAACAGAAAATCCAGTTGGGACATTTGCTTATTTCAGCTAATGCTGGCACAGGTAGGAAACATTGGGTAGGCTGGTAGCTTCATAAGCTTGAAGAGACTGTGTCAGGTCAGCTTGAATTACTGTCCTAGGTACAATCTGGCCCCCACATTATTCCTCAAAGTTCCTTCATTTGATTGTGGCTACTGTTAAGTCAGTGCTTTTTCTTGGAAGTAGCTTTATGCTGCTTGGTATGGAGCATCAAAGGCCAAATATTATCATCTAGATAGAGTTGACCATGGTACTTGGAGATGGAAGACATCTGGAATTATAGTCACCTCTCAGTTCTCTGTTATAAGGGCAATGGGGAGAAAGAAGAAAGTATGGGCAGAGTGGAGACACAGATAATTAAAATCCATGGTCATTCACTCTTCTGTCCTCCATTTTAATCAATAATTATAACTCTCATCTAACCAAGCCTTTTTACCAGAGAGCTGTGAACAAGGAGCCAAATGGAAAGATTTGAGAATCATTTGCTTTCCTGGTTGTACAGGGTGTTAAGGAGCTCTTGAGTGGTCTGAAGGTGGGCAGCGGCAACAGTAGTAGAATGAAAACACAGCCAAACAAAATCAAGTCTTTCTGACAATTAAGAGTTTGCTGTATGTCTATGTGTAATTGATGTACGGGGAATGCCATGGGTTCAGGGAGGCCTGAGGTGATTGAGGTGGAGAGTGTTGACTTGCTAATCTCTAGGCAAAGACCTGCTATAGTCATGTTTTAACATGAGTAGAGGCCCCTAGTTTGCATGGTAGAAAACGGGTATAGAAAGACGAATTTTGTGTCTCCCTTGTAAGAAGTAGCTCTTTACAGGAGGAACTTGTCCCTTTTGCATCCCAGTTCAGGAACACTGCAGGCATTAGCTAAGATTCCATTCCAGGGACCCCATGGTCCTGTTCCAAATTTAGGTAAATTTAGGGGTGGCTGTTTGGGTGGTCCTTTCACTGCATATTTCTGCCTCCCTTCTGCCTCATCACACCTATTTCCCCTCTATCCCTTTCCTCTAGGCATATGATCTGAAATTAGATGACCTTTTTCAAAGGCCTACCTACCTTGGGTTTGAACGCAATGAGCTTCAGGATCATCTCCACGGTGAAGAGGCCGGTGAAGAGCATGTTGAGAATGTTCATAGCGATTTTGAAAAGACAGCTCTGACCGTAGTGCTGGGAGGAAGGAATTTCCGGTGTACAGTGAGAATGGGACTGAGATTCTATGGGTGGAGTCTTTGCCTCACCCATTCTTTAGCCTAGCCTTTTCAGAGTTTGACCCTTACCCCAAACAACATTTAAAAAAACCCTCTCACACCATTTTCACACTCCCAAAGGGCTGGTCCTGTATACACTGTATCTTCTAGTTTACAGGTAAATCTCAGAGCTCCTTTCTGTCTCTGATACCACTGAAAAACCTGAAGGCCTTAGTGGACTTGGGTCACAGCTTTCCTTCTTAGACTGGCAAGGAAAAATATGATGGAGATCCCGGCAACTATTTCCCTAATATCAGAGAGAGCCTTAACACAGGACTCTGTGTTCTGGCTAGAAAGAGGGGTTGTTGGCTCATAGGCTTATAGTACCACAGCTTGACAGCTGGAAAGGACCTCAGATGTCACCTAGTCTAAACTCCTCATTTTATAGATGAGGGAACTGAAGCTTACAGACTTGCCCAAAGTCACAAGGCGGTAAACAGTAGAGGTGGGATTTGAACCCAGGATCTCCAACTCCAGAGTCTGACTTCTTTCAAAATGGCATCTATATTCCATGCCTTGTTAATAGCAATGAATGTATGGGCTAAATTAATAATCTCTCTGTTTTCCCTGTCTTTTGTCAAACTAGGGGTCCTTCAGTGGGACACACCTTGGGTAAGGGTCATATCCTTTTCAATGGAACAGTCAGGGCTGTGGGTAAGAGAGCTGTTGTTCTCCATTCTTCCTTTTTGGCTATCAATTGTAAAACTAGCTGGTGAGATACACATAGCTTTCTCATTTCTGTCTCTTCCCTAGCCTCAGGGAATAGTCCACAGCCCCTTCAGGTTTTCAGCACCCCCCACCCTACACTTACCTGCATGGCCAAGCAGATGGTGTTGAGAAGGATGAGGACGAACATCAAGTACTCAAAATAGGTGGAATTGACCACATACCACACTTTGTACTGGTGCTGGTTCTTGGGGATGTACCTCCTCAAGGGTCGAGCCTTGAGAGCATACTCTACGCACTGTCGCTGTTAGGAGTAGGGGTAGGGGGATGGAAGGGACAAGAGGTGGGAGAAGAAAGGAAAAGAGAGGTCAGTCAGTGAGGCATGGAGTGATAGGAGAGGAATTGGGGATTGGGCATGTGTTCAAATCCCCAGGTTATATGGGAAACCATCACTGACTAGTCCTGCTGTCAGAAGTGACAGTAAGTTGAACCTTTTGCTCCTAGTTTCTTTCTTTCTTTCATATGTGCAATCTTTATTTTTCTAGCATCTTTAAGATTTAATTTTTTCTTTTTTAAAGTTTCATTTTATTTTTAATTTATGAAATAAAACAAGCTAAGATACTGTTTGATAAGACCAAAAAGACAAAAGTAATAGCCTCCTTGTTAATTGTTCTGATAGTCTCTTCCAAGGGCATCCAGACCCTTTTCCTTCCTTTCTTTTTTTTAAATCTTTCCTGTTTTCTAGAGTCTGCAACCCAAGGAAACACTCCCAAACCATTGATGGGTGATGAGAAGAGATTACTTTGGGACTAAATCTTTGTTACTGTAGTTAGCAAGATCTTTGGCACCTCTGCACAAATAGATTTTCATTTTCATTTCTATGCCATAATTCTGAACCTGTGGCAAGACTGCTGTTTTTCATTTTTTTAACCTCCCCACTCAGCCCCTAATATCAAGTAATATTTCTTCAGCCAGTTGAATTCTTACCAACATTAGTTGCTTAATTTAATCTCTCTACTTTCCCCTCCTTCCCACTCCTGCTCCTCTCCCTGGAGAAGTTCCATGTTTCTTGGTCAGCACACAGCTCTTATTCTCCCAACCATCCCCAATGGAAGAGTTTCTATCTCAGTCTTTGGGACTGGAATATCATATGCTCAAGTTGAAACTCTTTCTTCTTGGTCTTGGGCAAAGGTTTCTTAAAGCCTCTTTCCTGCTAAGAGACACAATTTCTCTCTTTTCTCCCCCACCTCTACTCATTGGTATTTTTACTTGATAGTAGCAACATTTCTCTCATAACTGGCTGAATTATTATTTCCATCTTTCAAAAACCGCTTACTCCAGAAAGCCATCCTTGACTACTTCAACTGGCAAAGATCTTCTCATTCAGAGCTCACATCACATCATATTTTATTTTGTAACTCTCTAATGCACTTGTTGGGTAGTACAGTGTATATTTCTGATGAAAATGCTTGTGCTATTGAAGGTGAGAGTCACCAGCTTGGAAATCAGATTCCCTCCAAAATAGTTGGGTGTACTAAAGATGAAACATCCCAAAGAGACCACAGAGGCTGCACAGGTCACACTTTTTAGGATTCTGGCTAGGAGTATTTCTTTCCATATGATCAGCATTTTTCACTATTTATTAATTTTTTCCACTTATAAACATGTTCAAAACACATGTCAAAAGACCTAGATATAGATATGCTTCATTTTCTCATGTCATATGTTTCAAATTAGACACCTTAAATTTGAAAATTTAAAAATAAATCCATCTGCGCTATGACTTTATAATATTGGAGTTATTCTGGGAAAGGAGTCTAATTTAAGTACACTGGGTAAAAGAACTTGACTTTAAAAAAACATGAATGTTCAGTTCACTTAGTATGTTTAGCTTAACCCAAGAAGTTTTGCAATTTTGTTTAAATATAAGTATGATTGCTTGACTATTTTAAATTTCATCAGTTGTTCAGTTAATCTTTGTCATGAAGTACACTTCATTAGTGTTAAGGTATATTTCTACCATAAATACTCTGTTTTTGTTCAGTTTTCTTCCATTTTATTACAAAAAGAAATCTTACAATGTAATCTTTTAAAATATATATATGCATATGTATATATGTCTGCATATATGTTTATTTATTTATCCATCTATCTATCTATCTATTTCTTTACTTATCTAATGTCTCATTCCTCCACTAGACTGTAAGTTCCTTGAGGGAATGGACAAAGTCTTACCTAAACTGTACATCTTGCTTAGTGCTTGGTATAGTGTTTTGTGATCAAGTTCCTTAGTAAATGTTAATTTGTTGTTATTTGACAGTTATTTGGTAACTCTTTCCTTCCCACAAAGATTTTGTTTCCCTTTATTTTCTGGTGTACAAAGTTTTTCCTTAATAATTGCTTCTGTGACTCCCTTCTCCTTCCCATCTGTATCTACTCCAAGACAGAGCTGACAGTTAAGTGGCAAATTTGGTGACTTGTAGGAGTTTGCAATTCCTTTGCATATTGCTTCTCAAAGGGAACCCCCCACCAAAAAAAAGAAAACTTTAGCTCTTTTCATAATAGAAAATAGGAGAGGTTATTTTAGTGCTATCGTTTCTCTCTTCTGTCACTTCTCAGATTGGAAGTAGGGTCATGGGATTGAGTATGGGAGGTACTTTAGAGATCATCTATTTAGCCTTCACAATTTACAGATGCACATCCTGAGGCTAAGAGAGGTTAAGTAATCTGTACAAGGTCTCGCATGTAGGAAATAAGAACCCAGATCCTGACTCCAAGCTCAATGCTTTCTCCACTGTGTGGTGTTGCCCACCCTACTGTATCTTTTCCTTCTTAGCAGCCTCTCTTGCTTCTTGACTTGAACTATTAACTGCACTTTCCTTCCCTCTCCTGCTCTCTTCTTCTTCCCTTCTCCCTTAGGAAGCTACCTGGTTCTTGTCCAGTTCACAGTTCTTGTACTCCTGTTCTCCCTGTTCCTGGAAGGTGACAATGACGAAACCCACAAAGATATTCATCATAAAGAAGGCGATGATGATGATGTAGATGATGAAGAAGATGGAGATCTCTACTCGGTAGTTGTAGATGGGTCCCTTATCTTCAGTGTGTGAGTCGATGGATCGGTATAGAAGCCTAGAGGGAGAGATGGATCCCATAGAGTGAAATGGAAAGACAGTATCTCTCTGGGCACTTATGATGTCCTTGGTTCTAGGGACACCTTGGAATTGGACTTGTGGACATTGACTCCAAAGTTTTGTAAGTATTGAAGGAAACTTCTTGAAAACTGGTATGAGCCCATAGGCCTACAACTTGAAAGGAATGAGGCTGAGTCTAAAAGAAATCAGCTTGTGCACAAATAAGGATTTACATAAAAATGATAATGTGATCTTGAATGCTTATATCGTACTTCTTTAGAATGCTAACTATGGAGTTGTTGTTATGCTTTATGTCAATGCTTTCTAAATAGTATCCTATGGAGTATGAATAGGGTTTCCATAAGAAAATATTGATGCTAGCAGCATTTCCCTTTCTAAAATATCAATGAGGAAATTATGTATATGTAAAAAAGATTTTTTCCTGTGCAATTTACATCATGAAAATAGGTTTAATTCCCTTTCTTTTGTTTAAAAGTTCTTTAAACTTCTCTTTATCCTGGGGACATTTCATAAACTCAGGCTTCCTGGACCAGCATTTTTTTTTTTTGTGTAAATATATTTTAAGTCCCAGGAAAGCAGCATGGTATAGAAGAATGAGTATTTGATTTGGAGTCAGCCTACTTGGGTTTTTGGCCCTCTGACACTAGCTATATGTCTTCAGGCAAATCATTTAATCTCTCTGAACTTCAGTTCCTTCATCTATAAAATGGGGATAATAGTACCTATTTCACAGGGGTGTTGTGAGAAATGTGCATTATTAGCTAGAAGTACTACATAAATATGAGTTATCAAATAAGGGAAGTGCTGCCTTATGCTCTTATCTTTTTATGTGTTTTATGTTACATTGCATCTGTGTTATCACCTTGATTTAACTCTAAATTTTATAAGAGTTGGGACTTTGCCCCCTACTTCCTTTGTAGCTTATCACAGTACCTTATACTCTGTAAACAGTGGGCATACAGTTGATGATGCCAACTATTGGTTTCACCACTACCTGAGCTGCTATCCCCTAAGTGAGAGACATGGGGGTGGTGGTGGTGGGATATGTGGGCTAATTCTAAAAAAGTAGGAAGAATCTCTTAGACCACACCCTAATCTCACCACACAAATAATGCTAACTTTTCATCCAAAAACTACTTTTTTTACCATAAAATATCTGCGTATTTGTTAAAAGAGTCAATTTGGAGAGTTTTGAGGGGGTTAATATTAGAATAAAAAAGACAGGTGGTCAAATGGGTCTTATTCAGACATTCTGTTAAGCACTTTAATGGAAAAGCTGATAGAAAAAGATACAAAGTCTGTTTGGTACACTGTTATCCTAAAAGTGTTTGAATACCACTTCTCTTCTGTTGCTAGTGTAGATACAGCTAGTGTAGAAGGTGGGGAGGCTCAGAGGTACATTATTTTAGTGAAATAACATTTCAACCCTTATCATGGTAACCCATTGAAGGATCTCCTGTTAATCATGGTGTCTTTGAATACCAAAGGATTTACAATCTAATGAAGTTTCTACCCAGAGGGCATGGTTATCCATGATCTCTGATCTACGGACATCTTAAAATTACATCCCAGATTGGGGCGAGGGTCTGATAAAAACTAAGGTTATATCTAGGATAGTAACCACCTTCCTGGATCATCAACTAATTACTGACTTGTCACAGAAACTTAGGAAGTGTTGAAATTAAAAGGGATCTATGAGGACTCATCCAGTCCCCTTATTTAAGGGATGAAGTTTAGAGAGGTCAAGTGATTTGTCCAAACACAAGCTTTTTCATGGCAGAGCTGAGACTGGAACCCAGGTGTCCTGACTCCAAGTCTGGTACACTTTCTACTATGCTATGCCTCTTACCATAGACAATTTGTATACCTGAGGCATTGCTCAGGGAAGTGCTAGGATAGGGTCCCTACTGTAGAGTAGATGATCTACAAAGGGTATGAGTATGCATGGCCCAGGAAATGGTGTGGTCAGTGGACTAAGACCCAATTTCATCTCTGGGCATCAAAGCTGTGGGCACATTGGTTTTCATACTCACTCTGGCCACCCCTCAAAGGTGGAGACAGTGAAGAGGGCCATCATGGCAGTCAGGACATTGTCAAAGTCAAATTTGCTATTTTCCCAACTTCGAGGCTGAATGATGGGATGATCAACCTCACCATCTTTGTATGTGATATAGTTGCCCCTGAGAAAGGAAGGATAAGTTAGTTTATTCAATCAACAAATACTAAGTATCTACTAAGTAGTAGGAGATGGGGATACAATGACAAAAGAAAAAACCACAATGACCATACTTGAGACAAGTGACTTGGGGAGATACCTCATCCTTCCCCACCATCTTTGTCAATGAGCCCTGGGCAATGAACAAAGCTGAGTTTAAAAAGAGACAGCTGTGCATGAGAGGCAAAAGAGGCTTGTAGCTGCCCATAATTGGTGATTACTTTACAAGTTATAAAAGTGTTACTATATTCTCTGGAACTGTGTGATTGTTGCTTGTCATTGTGGTTTAAGACCTGGCTCCTGGTTGTTTGTGTTGGAGCCTAGAGCATTTGTTAAGTGTATGAAATGAATGAGAATACAATATTAATGGAAAGAGTGAAGTCACTAGTGGTGTGAGGCTGTAACAGGAAGTAGAGTGAATAAAAAGAGAGGATTGTATGGGAACTAAGAGTGAGTGTTAGTGTCAAAGGTGATTCTTCTGGCACAAATCCCTGGGGGCTTGGGTTTGTCCCTATAGTGTGCCTTAATTTTGGAAGCATAGAACAAGTAGATATTAGGGCTAGTTGGAAGGTGGTGCCATCTGCTGCGCCTTGAGACTATATGTGGCTTTGAGTCTCCACATGCAGTGATATCAGCATCTGGGGACACTGATGACATAGTTCTGACTATTGTGATATCTCAATATCACAGTCCTGAGAACCCAGTAGTTTCTACGTAGGAAAAATGATTTGGGGGTGATGCATTCAGACCCCAAACTTGGCAAGCAGTTGAACTTGAAAGTGCATGTGAGTGGGTTTGTAACAAAAGCATGTTAGGCATCTATACCTCTGCCCAGCAGGCTATGCAAATTCCTAAAACGCCAGATCAAACAGCAAAACTTCTGTGGGTGGGACATACAGTAGTCAATGTGGTTCCATGTGATGTCACTAGGGACAGATTCCCAAATAGGGAAAAGGAAGAGGTCTATTGCAAGCCAAATTGCTCCTGGAGAAAGAACAGCATGTTCTTTCCCCAGTCTCCCATCCTAGGCTATCAGGCACATCTTCTAGGGCACACTGACCTTTGAGTGGCCTCCATACTAGATTGTACTCACTTGCATTCGGCCTCGGTCTGTTTGGAACTGTCTGTACAGGTGTAGAGTTTGCCCTAGAGGATCAACGGAGATTTTAATCAATCCACAGGTATTTATTGAGATATGCTGATACATAGTTTTCAGTACCATGGAGATTCAAAATAAATCAGAACTATAAATACAGAAGGAATTCAGGAAGAGAAAGATGATCAGGGTAGGCTGGCCCAGTAAGGAAGCCTTCATGGAGAAGTTACTTGTACTGGGCCTCAAAACATAAGTAAGATTTGGATAGAAGTGATTTTTGGATGGAGGATTAAGATGAAAGGATTATAGAGTCACAGAATCTTAGAGTTGAAAAGGATTTTAGACACCACCTAGTCCAAGAGTTCCTAACACAGAGGCTTTGAACTTATGCCTAAAATATTTTGATGAGTATATTTCAATATAATTGGTTTCCTTGCAAATCTATTTTATTTTATGCATTTAAAATCATCATTCTGAGGTGTCCATAGACAACCATAAATAGCTAGCTAGAACTTATATAATGTTTTAAGTTTTGCCAAGTGTTTTATGAATATATCTCATTTAATCCTCACAACAACCCTGAATGGTAGGTGTTATTGTTATGCCTTATTTTACAGATGAAGAAACTGAGGTAAACAGAGGTTAAGTGAAGTGATTTACTCAGGGTCACCCAGCAAGGCCAGATTTGAATTCAGGGTCCAGTGGCCTTTTCACTGTGTTACTCAGGCTGCTTCTAGGGGTTCCATGATGCAAGAAAATAAAAGCCCATAACTGAATAAGAATCCTCTCTACAACATCACCAAGAAGAGATCAAGCAGCCTTCATTCCAAGATCTCTGGTGAGTGTAAACTATAGCCTTTGGAAAGCTGTTATTATTAGGAAGTTTTTTCCTTTTATCAAGATTAAATGTGTCTCTCTTCAACTTCCAACCCACCATTCCTAGTTCTGCCCTCTGGGGACAAATAGAATAATTGAAATCTCTCTTCCCCATGACAGTCCTTCAAATACTTGAAGACAGCTCTCATGTCTCAACCTCTCTCCTCCTGAGGCTGCTTTTCTTCAGACTAAACATTTCCTGTTTCTTCAATCAATCAACAAGCATTTATTAAATATTTTCTAAAGTGCCAGTCACTGTACTAAGTGCTGGAGATTTAAAGAAAAAGGAAAGTCAGCCCCTGCCCTCAAGGTACTTATACTATCATTTTTATGGTACTTATATTATCATACACCTGGGGGATACAAGATATATGCAAAAGGAATGGAAGGTTACCTTAGAGGGGAAGGCACTGGAAACTGGGGGACTGGGAATAGTTTCCTGCAAAAGGTGGCATTTAAGCTGTCTTTTTTTTTTTTTTGAGGCAATCAGGGTGAAGTGACTTGCCCAGGTCACATAGCTGGTAAGTATCTGAGGTCATATTTGAACTCAGGTTCTCCTGACTCCAGGGCCAGCGCTCTATTGGCTGTACCACCTAGCTGCCCTAAGCTGAGTCTTAAATGAAATCAGGGACTCTGAAATGGGGAAGTGAGCAGGGATAGAATCCTAAGCATGGAGGATATTAATGCAGAGGTCCAGAGACAAGGGAGGGACTGTTCTGTGTGAAGAATATAGCAAGGAGATCAGGATGGCTGGATTGGAGGGTGTGTGGAGGGACATCATGTGTGAGAACATCAGTAATATGGGACAGAGTCAGATTATGAGGAGCTTTAAATGTCAAAAAAAGGAGATTATTTTTGATTCTTGAGGAAACAGGGAGCCACTGGAGTTTATTGAGCAGGGAAACAACATGGTCAGAACTATATTTCAGGAACATCACCTTGGTAGTTGTATGGAGAATGAACTGGAGTGGGGAAAGACTTGGCAGAGATATCAATTTGAAGGCTATTGTAATCGTGCAGGTAAGAAACTTGAAGGTCTGAACTAGGGGATGGCTATGTAAATGGAGAGAAGGGGACATAAACAAGAGAATGTTGTCAAGGTAGAAATGATAAGACTTGACAGCAGATTGGATATGTGGAATAAATGAGAATGAAGAATTGTGGATGAGGCCAAAGTTACTCAGATGATGGTGGTGATATTGACAGTAATAGAAAATAACCCTATGGATGTGGTTTGACTAGGGTGGAGTAGAGTTGGGCTGTCATTTTTCATGTTTATGCTATAGATTATGTAGCTGAAGATTGTATTAGCACTTTTGACTGCCATATCAAACTACTGACTCATGTTGACAGTAAAATTTATTGAAGTCCTCAAGGTGTTTTCAGATGCAGTGGTATCTGATCATGCCTTCCCCACTTACACTTACAACATAAAGTTTATTTTTTGAACTCAAGCATAAGACTTTAACATTTGTCCCTATCACACTTCATCTTATTAGATTTTATTGAACAATCTAGGTGGTCAAAATTTTTTTGTCTCCTGATTTACTCATTAGACATGGGAAAAAGCATGGATTCCTTTGCCTCCAATTTTTCTGTAAATTTGATAAATATGTCATCCATACATCTATCCAAGTAACTGGGAAAAAAAAAACAGCAAAGGGTCACACAGATCCTCAGGGCACTTTACTACAGACCTCCTTCCAAGTTAAGATCCAGATACTAATGACTTACTCTTCTTAGGTCCGGCCGTTTAATAGCTCTGAATTCAAATAACTGTACTTTTGTGTAGCCCACATTTCTCCTTCTCTATAAAAAAAATGAGTAGCGAATTTCTCAAAATGTTTTGTTAAAATCTAGATAATTAAAAAAAAAGGAAATCAAGTGAGTCTGATGTGACCTGTCTTGATGAAGCCATGCTGGCTCTTTGTCACCACTGTTTTCTTGCCTTGATGTCACTACCATCTTCTTAATAACACATTTTCAAATTTTGCCCATAATTGAAATCAAACTCGCTGGCCTATATAGATTGCAGATTTACTTTCCTTTTTTCGAAAATTGGGAGAACATTTGCCCTCTACAGTACTGTGGCTCCTCTCCTGATCTTCCAAAGATCACAGCAATTTCATCTGCTAGTTCTTTCAGGAACCTGGTCTAGAGACTCAAAATTATCATTAACAGTTAAATGCTCTTTTGAAATCCTGGGTTTCAACTCCCTATTAGCCATTTTTATCCTATTCCTTTACAATCAAAAGATTATTCTTCTTGGCAGGAAAAAAAATAACAGAATCAAGATAAGAATTGAATTTATAACAGCTGACATTTTATAGCATTTTAAACTTTCCAAAGTGTTTTGCATACATCATCTCTTTTGAGCCTTATAATAACCCTGCGAAGTAATTACTACTAATAATAAGTATTAATTAATACTTATCATCCATTTTACAAATGAGGAAACTAAGTGCTTTCCCCCTGGTTTCACAGCTAGTAAGTATGAAGGGACTGGATTTGAACCCCAGCCTTCCTGACCCCAGGTCCAACACTCTATTATATGACTCTTGCCTTCTCTCTGCTATCTCTTATCATTAGTCTAATCGTGCCAAACAGCAGTCCTGTCTTTTCACTGATCCTCCCTTTCTCCTACAATAAAGCCCAATCCTCTTTTTGTTTTGTTCAGCTTTCCTTCCTTATCCACTTTACCCCATTCTAAGCTTTTGAACTCATGATACTCTTCTTACATGACTATACCTTATTTTTTAATTCATTTTCAGTAATCTATTCTTCAGCCTTTTATATGTGACTGCTTTTAAAATCTAAGTAGGTTAGCCAGCCATGAGGTATATACCTGTACTCCCTGCTCCTGGTGAGGCTGAGGACAGTGGATTACTTATACTCAGGAGTTCTGAGCTACGGTGGACTAAAGTTGAATAACTGTCTACAATAAGTCTGGCATCAATATGGTGAGTCTCTGGGAGCAAGGGGCCACCATATTGCCTAAGGAGGGGGTGAACCAGTCCAGGTTTGAAAGGATTAAGCCCATGAATGACTGGTGTACTTCCAAGCTGGTGAGAAAGGGTCTTAAAAAATAAAAAAAAAATATTAAAAAAAAAATCTAAGGTTAATGAACCCCTGTGTAGACAATTTCAGATCTTCCCATCTCCTCTCTCTTCCCTTTAGAAGGGGCAGGGAGGCAAGGAAATCTCAGGTGGAGGAATAGAATGAGTAAGGGGAAGGAGATTAGAATTAGCATGGCATGTTCAGAGGCCTGAAGAAAATGACCTGACTAGAATAAAAGCTGTGTCCTAGAGAGTAGTTGGGGATAGATCATAGTAGGTTGTAGAAGTTAGGCAGAGAGAGGTACTTCGGTCTGAAAAAGGCAATAGAGATACTGTCTTGAGAAGAGTGAAATATTTTTAAAGAGCTGTACTTCCCTTTTTCCCACCATGAGAAGAATTTTTGCACTCTCATGACTTAGAGAATATCTGGTAGGAGGCAGGGGGCAGGGACACAGAAAGAGAGCTGTACAGAATGGCTCTAACCTGACTCCTGGGTAGGAGGCAGGGGATGGGGGACCTGCAGCCTCAAGGCCATATATGGCCCTTTAGGTCCTCAAGTGTAGCCCTTTGACTGAATCCAAACTTCACAGAACAAATCCCCTTAATAAAAGGATTTGTTCTGTAAAACTTAGACTCAATCAAAAGGCCACGCCCAAGGACCTAGAAGGCCACATGTGGCCTTGAGGCTGCAGGTTCCCCACCCCTAGAGCACCTAGACTCTAGGTGAACCATTCTTTCCATCAGGTTATTTCACTGGTCTAGAATGCAGGGGAAAGAGGAACAGAGACACTCACTTCCATTCCAGGTCTGATCTGTTGTTTTTAGGGGCTACATCTACACAAGTTTGACTCAAAGACAAAGTTTTACCTTGAACAGCTGTACCCCGATGCAGGCAAACATGAATTGCAGAAGTGTGGTGACAATCACAATGTTCCCTATGGTTCGGATAGCAACAAACACACACTGGACCACATGCTGTAGGAAAAAGAAAAGAGCAAATTATTTTTGGGTGTGTACATGGCTTTTTTCCCCCTATTAAATTGTAAATTCCTTAAGGGAAATCACCACATTTTATATTTCATATTTTTATCTCCCCTAGTCCCTAGCATAGTGCTTGGCACATAGTAGGATTTTAATAAATATTCATGAGTTGAATTGAAATGAGAGAAAGGCCCAGGGCAACAGAGAGGTCTTGGAAGCAAGAGTCTTCCTCCCTTCAAAATTGTGATCAAATGACTATCTCAATTTAATTTAATAATCACTAAGCAAATTCTATGTACAAGGTGTTATGCTAGGTATAGAGACAAAAATGAAGTAAAGCTTCCTCTCCAGGAGTTTACATTCTATTTGGGGGGATATGTTATTGATAAATACAACAATCAGACAAAAAATTTTATTAAGCTCCTATTATGTGCCAGACATTATGCTAAGCACTAGAGATATTAAAGAAAGGTAAAGAACAGTCCCTGATCTCAAGGGCTTATAGTCCAATGGAGGAGACAACAGACAGATAACTATGGAAGACCAAGATACATTGGAGATAATCAGCAGGGGAAAGGCACTAGCATTCAAGGAGCCTGGGGAGGGCTTCTTGCAGAAGACAGGATTTTAGCTGAGATACATACAAAGTAAATGCAAAGTCACTTTTTTGAGGGGGAGAGCACTAAGGAGTGGGAGGTGGGGAGGGTCAGGAAAGGTCTTATGTAGGAGGTGTCACATGAGCTAAGCTTTGAAGGGAGCTAAGGATGCCAAGAGGTGGGGATAAGAACAAGAGCATTGGGGACAGCCTGTGCAAAGACACAGAGGGAAAATGTCTTATGTGGGGAACAGCAGTAGCTCATTTGGCTGGGATGTACAGTGTGTGAGGGGGAGTAATGGGAAATCAGTCTGGAATCAGCACCCTGTTCCAGCCTTTATTGAGCCCCTCAACCTCAGGAGCCTCCAGGAGGAAAGGCAGCAGTAACTCCCATTCTCCATGAGTAGGGAACATTAGTCTTGGAGAGATGGAGTAACTCTCCCAGAATTATACCATGAGTCAGTGTTGGAACCCCACAGGATAGAAACTTTGGTGTCGTGACTATCTGGTTAGGGAGATCCTCGACCTCCCCAAATAGAGAATTTTCATCTAATGGCCGCTAGATCACCTAAGTTCTCAGCCACTATGTTGAGGGCCTCAATGGCCTAAGAAGGGGACCCTTTGCTAAGTTTTGTTTGAGATCTAATCATTTAAAACAACCTTTCTGTTTGCAATAATATCTGTTTTTATTTCTATAGTGTTGTGAAATTTACAAAGTGCTTTCCTCACAATGACTGCATTTCCCAAGTCTTGGAAGAATCATCAACTTCATTTTACAGATGAGGAAGCTGAGCCTCAGAGAGGTAAATTGTATTGCTCATGGTGAATTGCTCATTGAGCCCACATTCTCTGCCTTTAAATCCAGGGCAGTCTTACCACACGATAATTCCTTCCAATAATTTAAGTATTCTAAGTCGTTTAATCATATGGACAGGATACGCATTTAGAACTGGAGAGGGTATAGAAAAGATAGGGAGAGCTTATCTGGGAGTAGGTCTGAGGGCAACTGTTCATTATAACCAATAACCAGTCATACCTAGCTCCTATTGCCCATCTGACAGGACAACACTTATGGTCCTTCCCCACTCCAACAAAGAAGAGTTTTAAGTCAGCAGGACAGCTAAGCCTTGGGCTAGGATTTCTCACCTTTAGTCCCTTGGCCCTATTGATGGCTCTCAGGGGTCTGAGTACTCGAAGAACTCTCAGGATCTTGACAACATTGATGGCACTGGACCTGAAAGAAAAATGGGGTGGGGTTGTCAGTATCCCACTGGGGGTACACGTGAAGGGGATTCCAGGACAGGGCCTGCCCCTGGCAAAATTGGGAAGCAAACAAAATTCATCTTCAGGGATTTTTTTTCCTTTCCTTTCCCCTCCCTAGTATTTTTTTTTTTTTGCTTCCACTCCCGCTCCCCCATAGTCCACCACTCCTATATATCCCAGGAGCCCCAATGCTCCTTATGTCAGCCTAGGGGACCTCCTCTTGGAAAACAAAGTAGCCTGAAGAAATTCACTCTAATGTATAGTGAATGAATAAAGAGGATGGCTACTGATAGTAATGTTCACCTAAAGGAATGAATCATTAATGGTAGAGTTTCAGGCATTTAAGCATACTGACTTGTTGGTGAAAGTTTTGGGCATAGATCCCTCAAAATCAAATCTACCATGCTGGCAGCAGCCTGCTCTGCCTGATGAATGATGAACCAAATGACGTCTAAGGTTCCTTTCATCTCTAAGATTCTAAGGGTCTATGATTCTAGGATTTACACATATGGCCAAGCCTGTCTCAGCAGAGGATCTGAATTCATTCAGGTCATGCATATCACCAGGCCTGGCATAAAGGTTGGGCAGGATGAGCAGAACCCTGAGTTGCTATGTAGAGCTTTTGAGAGTCTTAGGTCACAGCTGCTCCTTCCTTTTCATTTACGGAACAGTGGACGCTTTCCCCAGAAGACCACCAGGCAAATGTTGGCTATCTCCAAGAGCTGTTCAAAATTGTTCATCTCCCTAGAATTGTTGAATTTGAGACTCATTTCTAAAGAAATGAATTTTCTTTTCATTGTGTTTTGCTCCTTTCCCTGCTGGGTCTTCTCAAAGCCTTTTTGATGTCTAAAGAATCAATCAGGAACCGAAAACATTCATTGTCCCAGGTGCCATGGGGGCCAGAGGAATTTACTGTGACCTCGATCTCTCTTCTTTCCCCTTCCCCAAACCCCAATCAATTGGAATGGGAGGATGGAAAAGAATTAAGGGGAAGGTATATTAGGTAAAGGGTTAGGGCTAGACCAGGGTTAATGGAACTAACAATGCTATGTCCTTATAACTGGGTCATCTTATACCTTCTTTGCTTATTGTTTTCTTCTTGCTTTAATTATCTATTTTTAAAAACCCTACTCAGTCTTAGAGGGTGGAGTAGAAGCAGCTATCTTAGCAGTAGAGAGGCTGTTCTCACAGAATATCTGGAGGTGTGGGTTTGTTAGAAAATAATGAAAACCTCATGGATAGTGGGCTGTGTGTGCCATTTCTCTTTCTTTTTGAGGTATTTCTTTCTACCATTTCACCTCTCTATACATCCCACCACTATCTTCTCTCCCCATCTAACAATTCTGGCTTAAATTACTGTACACCAGTCTTAGAATCTGATGGTAATGACAACGTACAGCACACTAGGGGTTACTGTTGTTGATTTTATTTTCTTTGTAGCCAAAGGATAGAAATATCTGGATTTATAGATGAATGGAAACAGAATCTCTGGGAAAGGTAAAGCTATCAGCTCTTAACATCTCAGAGGAAACTAACTTATCAGACCCATCCCAATTTGATATCTAGTTGGAAGCAGTTCTCTACAGGAAAGAGTTAAATGGCAGGAATATTTAAATAGAGGAAAGGTGGAAAGATAGGTTACAAGGCCCTGGGATAGAGGACTGAGGGGGATATTGCTGTGGCAGGCCTTAACCATTGGAAAGGGCTACATGGGGGTGCTGGGCACTTTGATAAGGCAAACTTGAAGAAGAAAGAGTAATATTTAAAATATAAAAAGCTGAAGGCACTTAAAACAAAGTTTGTCTTCCAACTTTGCCTACGAGGCAGTTTTGTCCAGGAAGGGCTATCTTATTTCCAGACCTTCAAACAGCTCCTTGATATGTCATGCCTTTCTGCATCTTAGGGACTGGCAGAGTCAAAAGGTCATAATTAAAGCCAAAAAACCCTTGGACCTTGGAGTGGCCTTCCTTCTCCTTCCTCCTATTAGCCACTCTCTCTCTTGGGCTAAGAGGGACCCCCTACTCACTGGATACCGAAGGAGATCAGGGACACGCTGACCACGAGGAGGTCCAAGATGTTGAAGTAGTTTCTGCAGAAAGAGCCCTTGTGGAGGAAAGCCCCATAGGCGGTCATCTGCAGGGGATGCAGAGAGAGACATAAGTGTACTCCGACACTGGATGAATCTCAAAGATCCTCCTTCCCTCCCTCCAGATCACATTGGGCATGCTCCTGGACTGCTCCAGGAAGAGCTCTTTCTAAAAAGCAAAATGGTGACAAAGAGAACCCCAAGATTGGGCAGGAATTAAAAAAGGAAAGGAAATGCCAGAAAAGGTGTTTTGGCCATTAGTTTTCACAACTCTCACTCATGCCCCTGCTCCAGAATCTATAATGGTTCCCCATAATGCCTTTGAGATGATGTCTCATCCCAGCTTTCAAAGCTCTCCATTATCTGGCCCCACCTTAACAATGCAACCTCATCTCCTACTACTTCTCAGTGTCTCCTCTCTACTCTGACTGCTCCTTGCACGCATGCTCATTTCTGCCGTTACTCTCACCCTTTCCAGCTTTACAGGGCCTCCCTCCCTCAATATAATAATCTTTTTTCCTTTTTTCCATCTCTTTAAATCCTCCTAATCTTTCAAGGTCCAGCTCAAATTGATCATTCTTTTTTGTTTTTGTTTTTGTTTTTTGCTTTTTGGTGAGGCAATTGGGGTTAAGTGACTTGCCCAGGGTCTCACAGCTATTAAGTGTCATGAGTCTGAGACTGGATTTGAACTCACGTCCTCCTGACTCCAAGGCCAAAGCTCTATCCACTGCACCACCTAGCTGCCCCTCAAATTGATCATTCTTCATAAAACAACTGACTGATCTTCCACTGATCTTTTCTAGGCCTCCAATGACTCTTATATTTGAATTACATATTTTGTATTTAACCATAATGTTTTGTTCCTTAATTCATATATCTAAATCTTTTCCTCTACAACTAGATGATAAGCTTATTGAGGGCAGAGATTGTATCTCATATTTTCTCCAATTCAACACAGATCTATTCAATTCAATTCAACCTATTCAATATCTTTGCTGCTTCATCTTTCATGGTGTTTAAAGTGAAAACAGACTCTGGAGGCTATGAGCCTTGGTCAACTGGTACTTCCTTTTTGAAACTGCAATACTGTTTTTAACTTCCTTTTAATCCTAGATCTCTTCTTTTCACACTTTTTATCATCTTCTTGCACTTATGGAAAACTGGATCCCGTAGAAGATGCTGCTGTTCATTTGTGCCCTGGAAACAATAAACCAGGACAAAGTAGGCATACCGTGTAGGTACTGCCCCATGCTCTACTTTCTAGACATGCCACTTAGCTCTCTATCCTCTTTTGAAGTTCACTCCATCTAGATAAATCAGCATTCATTTCTATATCTTTGCTTCAGTCATCTGTTGGCCTCTAGGTTCCTCTCTTTACTTTCTCAAGAAAATACCTCCCAGACTTCCCTCCACTTCAACCTTTGTCCTCATAATCAGATTTGAATATATGTTTTAGTGATCCCTAAAAGAACCTGGACTCTGAGTTCATCAAACATTGGTTGTATCTTAGCTCTCATGACCACCCCATATTCCATCTCCATGATCTTGAACCCTGAAATTCCTCTAATAATAATATTCTGTTCTTCCCTCTCATACTCTATCTCATTCCTCTTACAACTATCGATCCTCACTGCAACTTCTAGTCTCTTAGTCCCTTCCCTTTTCGTAGTTGATTATGCCTTTATAGTCTTGACCCTGCAGTTGACGAGCTCAACTATAAATCTCATAACTTTCAATCTCTTGCTTTTTAGGATTAACCCAATAATCTGCCTTCTTTACTCCTAATCAAGTGCTGCTAAATGTCACCAGAGGAAATCACACAAATTTATGTTAAGAGCCTTTGTTGTATAGTGATTCTTTTATCTTTTCCTGATCAGTACACTCCTTACAGGTGTTTTGAAACTTCTCAATTTTCCTAATACTCAGTGCCCCACCCGCCCTGCAATCAATGAGGACATAATTTTCTATTTTATTAAGAAAATCAGGATTATTAGCACCCTCTTCTCCTCTACTCTATAGATTAGAAACCTTGTTTTTTTTTTTTTTTTTTTTTTAAGGCAATTGGGGTTAAGTGACTTGCCCAGGATCACACAGCTATTAAGGGTCAAGTGTTTGGTGTGAGGCCGGATTTGAACTTCGGTCCTCCTGACTTCAGGGTCAGTGCTCTATCTACTGCACCTCCTAGCTGCCCCTGTTAGAAACCTTTTACAGGGCCCTGCATTCTCTCGTTTGTCCCAGTCTTGACAAAGAGGTGCCAACACCAACCATGTCTTTTGTCTTGTTGCCTCTCATCTTCTCTAGAAGTTTGCCTCCCTGATCCCTCCCTCTCTTCCTTCCTTCTTTCCTTCCTTCCTTTTTTCCCTCCTGCTCATTTTCAGTCTCACTGTATCAATTGGATTTCTGCTGCTTATAAACATGACTAGCTTTCCCCATCCATAAAAAAACCAACTCCTTCCCCCCATACCTTCAAGCACATTCACTTGACTGCCATCCTCTTGAATTATTATCCTTTATTTCTCCTTTCTTTCATTTCTGAATTACCAAAAAAGAATTTTCTACGTTCATTTCCTTCCTTTCCTCATCCAGCCTTTGCAATCGTTTCTGACTCCACCACTTAACTGAAATTGCTCTCTACCAAAGGTCTCATAACTACTAAACCTGAAAGCCTTTTTCCAGTGTTCATCCTGTTTGACATTTGATGATTTCTCCATTCTCAGGGATATTCTCTTCATAGATTTCTGTGTGATATTACTTTCCCCTGATTTTTCTTTATTTGTGTGACTGTTTCTTTTCTTGTCCCTTTGCTGGATCTTCATCTATCTCCCACCTACAAAGTACGAGTAATCCCTAAGGTTTTGTCCTTGGGCAATCTTCTTTTGTCCCTTTCTCTCTTTCTTGATCTCACCAACTCCTGTGACCTCAATTTATTATCTCTAAATAAATGACTGCCAAATCTATATGTCTAACCCCAGTATCTCTCATGAATTTCAGTCCTGCCAACTGACTGTGGCTTTCCATCTGGATGTCCTATTGGCATTTCAAACTCAACATGTGCAAAACTGAACTAATTATTTCTCTTTTCCTCTAAAACTGCTTCCTCTCTTTAAACTTTCCTGTTTTTGCTAAGGACACCATCATCATTCCAGTCACCCAAGTTCACAACCTTAGAACCATCTTTGACTCTCTCCTGACCCTCACCCTGACATCCAATTATTTTCTCTCATCACTTTTACCCCCATAACACATTGATCTTCTTTTCTCCATACACATGACCTCTAACGTCGTTTAAGCTTTCTGCACAACCCGTTCACTTTTACTATTGCAATACTTTTCTAATTGATCTCCATGGTTCCAGTCTCTACCTTCTCTAATCCACTGTCTATAGAACTGCCAAATTAATCTTTTTTTAAAATTTATTTTTAATTAACATTTTTAATTAATTAATTTATTTTCAGTTTTCAAATTCATCTTCCCAAGATGGTCTGATCATGTCTCTTCTATAGCTTCCTATTGCTTCGAGGTTAGCATATACACTCCTCAGTTGGCATTTTAAGCCTCTAGAATCTATCTACAATCTGTCTTTCTAGAATGATTTCCCATTTCTGGCAAATCACTCTAGTAGCCATACCTCAAACTCAACATTCCATCTCTTGTCTCTGTGTCTCCCTAAAGTGTCTCCATGCATGAAGTACACTCCTTCCTTGTCTTATCCTGCTGGAGAAGACTTAGCTTCAAGACAAAGTTCGGGATTCCTTCTCTCACTCCATCCTTTCTTCCCCACCCCAGGCTGACAGTGCTGTCTCCCTCCTCAAATTACTCTGCATTTACATATCTGTATAAATGTGGTATCTCCTCCATAGAATGGAAGTTCCTGATATAATTTATTTTTCTACCTCTAGCACCTACATGTGTCTTGTACTGTACTTACTATATGATTGTTAAATTTGTTGAATGTTGTGTTCCTAATTTTCAATGTGTGTAAGCTTTCCAACCTCTCCCCCCACTAAAGTATCATCTCCTGGACAATAGGAGCTACACAGTTGACTTCTTATGTATATCCCCTAATGACACCTATTTATCAGTTCTATGGTCAAAAATATTTTGTTAAATTTAATTGAATTGAAGCATGGGACGATTTAAGGGTGGGAAAGAATTATAGGCTGTGGAGTTACCCAGGGGGAAAATGTTATGGCCTAGCAGTTGAGTTGTGGATGTGAGAATGGGGAGTCGGCCACCTGACCAACTGGAGTGTGGCTTTTCTTTGTGGAATCAGGGCATGCCTAGGACAGGGTGTTTTCAGAGCAATTCAAAAGCAAACACAGGGGGAGCTGGCAAAAATAGCTCTTGCAACCTAATTCTTTCCATTTGTCTCTTGCAATAGGGGGTCACAGGGGATTCAGGCACCTGTGCTCTGAAACAGTTTTGGGAAGTAGGTGGATTACATAAAAGGATGTGAGGGAATAGACTGGGAGTGTTCCATTAGCCCCACCATCTGGAGTGTATGACTGCCCCCTTCCCAACTCCCTCGGCCTCTGAAATGCTGAGGACCTCTGGGACTGGACCTAAGTTTTGATAGCATATATTGAAAAGGGGGCTCTCTCCTTCACAAGCCTAACTCCCTACACTGAGCATTTCTACTCTCAGTACTGAGGGAAAGAGCTATGTCACTTCTGCCCCTATCTCTGCAGGCTCGTATCTTGCATGGAAACTCCTGAGACTTGGCAGTTTTTTCCTTCTATTTGGAAAGGTGTATTTTCCTCAAGATTAGAGGAAATACAAGGTTCAAGACGTTAACCTTTGGACTCTTTGCTGGTTTGTGTTCTTGTACATAAGCGAACCCCAAAGAGAGGCTATACCAGGATTATTGTAGTCATACTGTGTGTGTGTGTGTGTGTGTGTGTGTGTGTGTGTGTTCCAAAGCAGGTAGGCTAAGGGAAAAAGCCTCCCTACCTGCTTTGGAAGCACTGGAAGGACAATTTAGGACTGCTTGTAGTAGGGCCATCCAGCAATGCTGGGTCTAAGAACATAGTCAAAGGTGGTTGTCCTTAACCCAATTCCTTGCTACCAGCTGCCTGCTCAGGCTGCTATTTCCTGGAAACTTCTAGCCCTTGTTCATGAAGAACAGTCTTAGAAGAGACCAAGATAGCAGGATGTATAATCATAGACCTTTAGAGTTGGAAGGGACCTTAGAGGTCATCTAGTATGTGGGTCCCTTTTGCAGCATCCCTAAAGGATGGCCGTCCAACCTCTTTTTGAATACCTCCAGTATGAGGGAGCTATATGCCCCCTGAGGCAGCCTGTTCCTTTGTTGGACAGCTCTAGTTCTTAGAAAGTTATTTATATTAAGTTAAAATATTCCTATAACTTCTACCTTCTTCCCTCTACAGCTAAGCAGAATAAATCTACTCCCACTTCCACCTGGCAGCCCTCTAAATACTCAAAAGACAGTTATCACGACCCCATTAAGTTTTCTTTTCTTTAGGCTAAAGATTCTCAATTCTGTCAACTGATTTTAAATGACACGTTGGATCATTTCTGGACTGCTGCTGTTAATTGCTTCTTGCCACAAAGATAGAATTTGATTTACTGGCTGAGCAAATACCCCTCAAAGTAGGGAGAAAAGTATAAACTCCCAACCAGGATTTTGAATTTATACTTAGGAGCACACTGAGTGTAGGATGGAGGAAGAGGGACAGGGGATGGGAGGGAAGAAAAAGGATCTTGCCATCACAAAGCTTGTAAAGGGGTCCTTTACTATTTTCAGCTTGTATGGCAACATTGAACAAAAATCAGCACCATTGAAATCAATGTGGGAAGCTCTGTAGAGGAGGGTGGTGGAGAGTGAGCATCACACTTGGGGCCCTCTTTTGAAGGGGCCTCATCCCTCATCCCTGCCTTTGAACACTTTTGTGTGATCAGTGATGCTTTTTACATGTAAGGCCTAATAAGCAATAGCCATCTACAACAGTTCGTTCTAATACCAAACTGAGTACAGTCTCACATGGTTTGCCTTATGGCATGGCACATGATCTGGTGGGGAGATACATCAGGCTTCCCCTTGCACAAGGAGGATGGGGTGGAGCAAAGAAACTCTGACCACAGAAACACCATGGGGCATATCATTTGTCGAGGTGGAGCTAGGGACATAGTTTGAGGGTATGAACAACTTTTGTAGGTTAAGGTCATAGTAGATAACTAGAATAAAAATATGGACCCAACCATTTTCCTGTCCCAGTCACACATGGGTGCATGTCCTAGCCTACACCTGGATTCCAAGGGCTGGATTTGGGCTTAGATATATTGGTGAGATACTGCCTATTGTATACAATTCCATATCTGAACCCATTTTCTGTCAGACCCAGTGAGGGAAGGCCAGATCTATTTAGAGGAAGAAAAACAGGAAAACTCACTCTGAAATAAGACTAAATCTGAAGTGGATATCCTCATGCCTTTCAGCTCTACTAGGTCAGGCATCATGCTTTGTCTTTGTATTACCTTCCCTGGACTCCTTATATTTAGTTCAGTTCTTTGTACATGGTAGGCATTTATTAAATGATTATTAAATAAATACATTTTATATAAGTAAGTTATACCTTCTTATTCAGAAGGTCTAAATTATAGGAATTTTTACCTTTGGCTTTTGAAATGTATTTCATTTTAGGGATAAGGTCTCTTTTGATAAAACTCAGAGGAGCTAGTTTTGAGGGTATCATGATTCACAAGAGCTCTGAAAACCACTTGACAAGTGCTGCTTTGCTGATGTATTCAGTGGTTAGTTGAAATCAGTGATTTGGTTTTGCCTGGGAAATAAAGTTTTAGGAGGATCGAGCCACAGAGCTATTAGCCCCCAGGGCCAGGGGCATTCAGGTTTGTGCCTATGTAGACTGAAGCCTGTGGTTTGGAGGCTATATTTCTGAGCCCCTTTGCTGACAGCTAAATTCTTGTTTCTTGTACTTAAGCTCCAACTCCAAATTTAAAAAAAATTCTCTTAGCATTGAGCTATAAAGGACTCAATAAAGCTATGTATACATTTTGGAAGCCCCCAGATTTAGGACTGACTCACATCCTTTTCATTGGATTAGAGGCATAGCCACACTGTTCACATCTTCAGGATAACTTCTAGGACTATGGCATGGGCCTTGGGATCCAGACTTGACACGTGTGGGAAGGGACAAGGGACGAGGACAGCTTCTTTTTCTTTCCAGCCACTTGTTTCCTACTCTTGGTGGTCATAAGCCGTGATTTTTATGCCTAGGAAAATCACCACAAACTATATCCATGCAACCCATAAGGCTGAGGCTGCCTTGAGGAGGAGGGGGCTTCACATATGGTAGCTTTTTACTTTAACTAATTATTACTAATCAAGTTCTAAGGAGTGTCCTCTAAATTTAGCACCCTGCAAAAAAGCCCTGTACGTTTCACTTTAGTTAAGACTCTGGTCAGAAGGGAAGGTGAACCTCCCCCTCAGAAGCCAGGAGGCAGAGCAAAGGTCCTTTGTGTGAGTGAGGCAGCACTGAATTATATATATTTGGTAAAGAAGGCTGGTTCTTGGAATATAGTGTGAGTGTGTTTTTGGGAGGTAAGGGGCGAACTTCGGGTTGACTCAGTGTTAATGCCACTGAGATGACTACATGATCAGCTTTCCTGCTGGCCTTTCCATGCCAAATGCTCCCCGGCCATATATCACACACAAAAAAAATTTCTTTGCACCTTTGTAACCTACAACTTTTGTAGGTTAAGGTCATAGTAGATAACTGAGAATAAAAATATGGACCCAACCGTTTTCCTGTCCCAGTCACACATGGGTGCATGTCCTAGCCCACACCTGGATTCCAAGGGCTGGATTTGGGCTTAGATATATTGGTGAGATACTGCCTATTGTATATAATTCCATATCTGAACCCATTTTCTGTCAGACCCAGTGATGGAAGGCCAGATCTATTTAGAGGAAGAAAAACAGGAAAACTCACTTTGAAATAAGACTATATCTGAAGGAGGTGGCTCAGCATGGCTCTTGGCTGAGGACAATGTACCCATCACAAAAGTGATAACCACTATAGGCTCCTTCCAATCACAAGGTTAAGGGAGAATGAAAGAGAAGGAAAGAAACAGAAGAAAGAGAGAAAGAGACAGAAACAACAAGAGAGTCCCTCATGCTTGTGCGCACGCACACACACACACATACACACACACACACACACACACACAAACAAACAAACCCATAAGGGTGTCCAGGAGAGGTAGAGAAAAAGAGAGAGACAAAGACAGTGAGGATGTATCATTTGCTCATGTTGCATTACCTTAAGGATAATTTCTAAGGTAAAGATACTAGTGAAGACATAGTCTGCATTGCCTAGGATCTGAAAAATAAGCACAATTGGGTTAGTGGCTCTGATTGTGAACCAGACAGCCCCAGGGGCATGTGGGTTAGCAACAGACAGTGGCAGAGAGAGCTAGTGCTGGTGGCAGGAGGGAGGCATGAGGAGGAGGAGAGCAAGTGATGGAGGCTTTACCTTCAGAGCAATTTCAATGGTGAAAATGGTAGTAAAAACTATATCAAAATAAAACAGAATCTGCAAAACAAAAAGGGACAGGGTTGGAGGGAGGGGGAGGAGGGGGGTCAAAAGGGAAGGGAGATAGATCATTGGATGTTCACCAGAACAGGGAATTGCAATTCAAAAATCAAGAAAGCATGTCACATAAAGCTTTACACCTGGAGAAGGCAGAGCTGGGCTGGAACCAGGTCAGGAAGCAGGTAGCATTATAAAATTTTTTTTCTGATGCCTTTAAGGCAGGGTTCAGCTTCAGAAATTCTCCAAAGCAGTCCCTATTGAAGCCACTGACAGGTGAGAGGAGGGTTTCCAGGGCAGGGTGTAGTCAGTAGTGGGTCTGGAGCAGATATGCCAATATGCTCATCAAACCAAATCAGCCCAGCCCTGATGCTTCTCATTGAGATCTGTGTCAAAGGGGTAAGCGAGTTAGAGATATTTTTGCAGACAACACTAGATACTCAGTTCAGATTGGGTCTGCTCTCTGGATGGAAATACACACAGAGGATACTGCTGCTGTGTTTGCCATGATAGCCCCTTCCTATCAGCAGAAGCTTGTGTAGTCTGGAGTAGCGATAAGCTATAGAGCATCACAATTCTCTTCACCTTTGAGTGATGGGTAAAACTCAAAGGTCAGAGTCCCTTTCGTTTCCCCTCTCAGGTGGCTTTCTGGACACCACACCAGAAAGTATTTCTTCAACATGGGGCTGGGTGAAAATGGAGTCTTAGTTGTGATGCACCTGAGAAAGACCACCACCCAGAATCAGTCCAAGCCTTCTGAGGACAGCCTTAGATAGAATTTTATTTCCTGGGACAGCCATGGTTTAGATAATCTGTGCCCACTCTGGGTTCTGCTTGATTCAGGCTGTGAGATTATAGAACCACCTATTCAGTTCTCATTCTAGAATAGGCTGTAATGAAATGAGCCCCGAAATTTTTCAGGGAATTCAATAACCCAAGGGAAGATCTCAGGGGCCTGGTCTATAGAGAACTTGCCACATTGTTGGTATATCATCATTTTCCTCCCCCTTCTATCCATTATTAAGAATGGAAACACTGTAATGATAAGAAGGAAGAGAACCAGTGCCTTATTTCATTGAATATTTCTGGTAACTCGGTTTCCTGGGCACATGAAGAATCGAATGGCTTGCATGTTCCTCACCCTCAGGAGGAGCCAGAAGCAGTTGAGTATAATCTCTTTTGTTTGCTTCTAGTCCTGATATGTGGGCCTATGTGGAATCTGGACCTGTTAAAGGGGTGTAGTTGTTCTGTACCAGATAATGCTTTTGATCCTAGGTTATGGAAATGGGCATCTTCTTACTGTTTGGACTTTCACAACTCTATGTCAGCCACCACATTTCTGGGCCTGCCCATACTCCTACCCTCCAAGAGGAAGACAGGGAGCAAAGGGGAATGCATACTTGGTTCCGAAAGGAGTTGTGTCGGACCGGGTCCTCAGCAGCTAGGGAGATGCTGCTGAGCAGAATGAAGAAGAGGATCAGATTGGTAAAGATGTTGTTGTTGACAATGCGGTGACACTGAAGACGGAACCTTTGGAAGAAAAGAGAGGCTAGGTTAGAAAGGGAAGAGGATAGAGGCAGATACTGATACCACGGCAGGCATACTCTATAAAGTTCTCCCACCCTGATACTTAAGCTTTTGTCTGCCTGTTTGTGCTGCATGGCTTAGGGAGTGAATTCTGTTGAATCCGAGGCACCTAGGTTTTAGCTGGTGTTGGGCGAGGCCTGAAGCCTTGGAGACAATACAATTCTAGGTGTTATGCTTTGGAGGAAGGAGAATCTTTCCTCTCACAGTATTTCTGAATACCTGTTGTTATGGCCAAAGATGAAAAATGCGCTGGCCTCTGGCATGGGCACTGCCTTCTCCTTGAGGTGTAACTCAGAGAGTGGGCGAGGGCGGGGCCCCACAGGCATCTCAGGCTCCTCTTCCTCTTCTTCTCCTGCAAGAAACAGGCTCATTCAAATATGAGTTTCCCACCTTTCACTGACAATATCTAGCCAGTGATATATAGTGAAAGTTTGAGGAAGCACCAGCTCCTATGGAAAGGTAGTATATCATCTACAATAGAAATCCTATTTGTTTTATTCTTGTGGGTCCCATGGGGGTTTTTGATATTTGAAAGTGGAGGCTGGGGAGGGGAAAAGAGAGGCTTTCTTATGACAGCATGTGATTGAGGAGTTGTCAGACACTAGGAGAGAGGCAGTATGGGGTAGCAGAAATAGGATTTAGAGTCAAGAGGACCTAGGTTCATGACTCTCAACACTATATGACCTTGGGAAAGTCCAGAACCTCCATTTAAGAAGGGATCTCAGTTTAGAACATTTCCTCATTTTTCACCTGGCTGCCTTATTCTGATTCATCTCTGATTTCTCCGCCATGCCCCAGGAAGCTTGTTATTGGGAAAACCTCATCATTCTTCAAGATTCCAATAACTCTGGCACTCCATCGTATTACTATCCACTGCTCCTCTGACTTAAGAGTCATGAACTCCCAAACCTCCATTTAAGGAGGGAGCTCAGCTCAGTTATCTCCTCTTTTCTCACCTGGCTGCACCACTCTGGGACATCTGACTTGTCCACCATGCCCCCCAGGTGAGGATCTGCTTCCTTCCCCCACCTGCTTTTCAGCTTCCTTTTGTGTGCTATCTTCCCCCATTAGGTTGTAAGTTCCGTGAGAGCAGAGACTTTTTTTTGGCAGTTGTGTCTCTAGTGCTTAACTTAGCATAGTGCCTGGAAAATAGTAGGCACTTAATAAATGTTTATTGATTGACTGATGTAATTATTTCTCAGTGCTTCAATTTCTATACCTCTAAAGTAAAGGGGGTTGCCTAGATGATTTCTAAGGTTCTAAGGCTCTAAGTCCTCTGATTTCCCATCTCTGTGCCTTCAGGGGTGGGGAACCTGTGGCCTTGAGGCCACATTTGGCCCTATAGGTCCTCAAGTGCAGCCCTTTGACTGAATCCAAACCGTGCCCCAAGACTGTTCTCCTTTCCTGGAATGTGCTCTCCTCTTCACCTTGGTCTCTTAGAATCCTCTTAACTTCCTTCAAGACTTCAAGTACCACCTCCTACATGAGGCCTCTCCTGATCTCCACCAAAGGTTACTTCCCCTGTGTGTCCCAAATTACCTTGTATTTATTTTATGTATTCTAATAAGTACCCATGCTGCCCCAACTTCTCGATAGAAGGCAAGGACTATCTCAGTTTTGTCTATGTATCCTCAGTATCTAATACAGTACCTCCAACATAGTAGGTGTTTAATGAATACTTTTTTGACTGATTGATCTTGTGAAAGGTGATAGAGAATCACCCCAACATACACAACTCAGCTAGCAAGTTGTACATGGTAGATCTGCAGCTTCATGTGTAATCATCTTTTTTCATTATACTGTGTTATAGAAATGCTTGTTTTGTTCTGTGAATTGAAATTAAATACAATAAGGAAAAAAGACAAATAAATATAGTCAAAAAGGAAAGTAAAAAACCCAACAATATTTTAAAAGTAGAATAAAATTTTGATGTGGAAAAAAAAGAAAGGTAATAGACATAGACTATCTATGCCACTGTGCAGGATCAAAGACACAGGGTCATCAGTCTAAAACCGGAAGGGAACACAGAGGCTGGCTGGTCCAGTCCCATTTTACAAGTGAGGTTTACCCCAGGTCACACAGGTGGTAAGTATCAGGGTTGGGATTGGAATGTAGGTTCTCCTGTTCCTTCCATTGTGCCATGCTGTTTTTAAACTGTCCTACCCTTTTCAAGTGTATTTTAAAATTCCCAGAATGAAAAAGATTGTCCGTTTGAAGGGTCTCATCCCTTACCTTTGCCCTTGGAGATTCTGGAGTGATCAGGAAGGGTTTTAGAACCTAAAGCTTTGTAAGCCACAGCTCCCTCTGATAAAGGGCTGCACAGTAGTGCATTCTGATATGGCAAAGAGCATCACAAGGTTCAACCTAGGTACTGGCACAATCTTGCTAGCTAGAATTCAGCTCTAAATTTCTTTGAGTTTAATATTGTCCCCTCGTCTCTGCTGTCCTTATAATTCTTATTGCACACTGTTGCCAGATCAGTGTTTCCTAAAACCTTTGTTGCTTCCAGGAAAAAAAGCCAGATTCCTTAGCCTGTCATTTAGTGACCTTTACAACCTAGTCCCTACCTGATTTTCTGAACTTATCTTCCTCTACCACCTTACATGAACCTTTTATTACTGTCAGCTTCTTTCTTGAAGTGTGGGTTAAGATTTTCTAGGTAAATCTTATTTTTAAATCATATTTTTTTCAATCAGCAAAAAAACTCACCTTCTCTCACTTCCGTTCTGCTCCCCTACCCTTCTACTAGGTTGAGAATAAAAGAAAAATAAAACCCCTGATACAAATACGTGTAGTCAAAACCCCCAAATTTCTGCATTGGACACATTCAAAAAATATATTTCATTCTTCACTCCGAGTCCTTCATGTCTCTTTCAGAAGGTGGGAAGCATGTTTCATCATTCCTCCTCTGGAATCATGGTCGACAGGTAAAATTTTACTGTCCTTCAGGTGCTGCTGGATTTTATGATGCTAGATTTTGATGTTCTACTTGAGTGGATTCTTACTGGGATAACATATCAGGGATAGGTCTTGATGTTCTGATGAATCCTTCAGTTGCAACAGCTAACTTGGTAGTCTTAGGCCAAATGCAAAGCTAATCACTAGATAGCAGACCAGCAATACTCAGCTAATATAAGGCCACACTAGAAATAATTTTCAGAGTTATCAATCCATGGTTACTCCTCACTAGAAATACCTCATTTATTCATTAGAATAGTCAGAATTGTGCAGAATTGTCTCTCACTGATTAACAGTGAAATAACCACCTCCCTTGGGGGAGGAGGGCAGGCAGGGGCCAGGAGGCATTTGACCATTTATATCACCTTTAGGCACCATTAGCAAGAAGGAGGAAAATTCTATTAAAAGCCATGTAAATAATTTTTAAAAAATTACCAATCTGGTTAAACTTTGGGTGAAGCCTCTATTTCATGACTAGAGAGTAGAAACTACACCCAATGGTACCCTCATTGGTATTTTCCTGATCAAGTGGCTCCCAACTTCCCAGAAATGAACTCCAAACTGTCATGTCCTTCCCTAAGCTGGTTCTAGCCTACCAGGCCAAACAAATTTCCCTTCTCCCTAACACACAGCACGGTCCTACCCTTGGCTGTCATCTTCTCTGTCTCTATACTACACTTTCTTCTTTGGCACTTCCATGATTTCAGCCACCCTGTCTATGAGAATGACTCTCAAGTCTTTATCTCTAGTCTTGACCTCTCCCCTAAGTCAAGACCTTAGAAGATGTATCAGATATCTCCACTCTACTTGAAACTTGAACCCATCCGTCATAAAAATAAGCTCTTTTCTTAAGCCTTCCTCCATTCAGTATTTCTAGCAGTTGATGAGCTGAGCCTTGAAAGGAGATAGGGATCTTAAGAGGTAGGGGTTCAGTCCAGACATGGGAGAAAGTATGGGCAAAGACATGAGAGATGAGATGGAATGCCAGGTAGGCCAGTTTGTCTGGAAAGAAGAGTGTGTGAAGAGGAGTAATATGCAAAAAAGCCTGGAAAGGAGCCAGACTGTGAAAATTTTAAATGCCAACTGAGGCATTTTTATTTTATTTTAAAGATGATAGGGAACTCTTCAAGGCTAGTAAGAAGAGGGGTGGTTTTAGGAAGATTATGATGAACATAAAGATGTTAAGGGATTTTCTTACAACCAGTGAACAAGAATTAAGAAGTTTCTTATCCAAACTGAGATGATGATAGGGCCTCAGCCATTGGATGATAGCAACTGATACTACATTAGAGATGTCTAGTGACTGGCTGAATAAGCCAGACCACAGTTTTAAAAGAAATGAGCCCTGGCTGTTGAGGAGAGAGCCTGCTGTGAAGAAAGAATTCGGCTCCTAATATTCTTCACCTTTCACCTTGCACCTTTTACAGAGTGCAGAAAGACAAGGGATGGAAATTCTCCTCTTCACTTCCTCCTCTGGTAATGGTATTGCATGCATAATGAAAAGGGGATTTAAGGCTATTGCTTCCAGAACCTCAAATGTCTTTGTGGATGATGGGGGAATTCTGAATTATAGAGACTGAGTAAGCTCATGTTCTCACTGACACAAAAGTTGTATAGAGAAATCCCCTCTCCTTTCCCTACTGAAAGTCTAAATGACAGCTGTCATTGGCATTTGTTTGAACAAAGAGGCTCAAAGTTTACCCTCAAAAAAAAGGGTAAACTATAAATCCTCACTCTTTATAGTCTTTGGAGTGGGTGGCTCTTCCTGGCCCAGTCAACAATCCTCTTTGGCACAGCCCCTGGTCACAGAATAACTGAAGACCACTCAAGGATCAGCTAGGGGCTTATGATTATTCATGTCCAGCAGGGGTCAGAACATGGAGCCAAAGTACACATGTGTAGCTCCATAGTACGTGTCCCAGTTCAGCAGATAAGGGAGTTCCCCTGATCATCCTTACTATGCGAATAAGTGACTAAAACCATAATTATCGTCTATTTGCCATGGTAGAGTGCTATACACCTTGGATGAGTGGACGAACAGACATTTCTAAGTAGAGAGCATGTTATTTGCCCAGTAGACTAACTTCAACCCTTTGGAATCTGGAGATTAAATAATGAGGGATCCTCCAAGGCCACCAGCACCTTTTTCTTTTCTCAAAGAGAATGGTTGAAGGGTGGAGTTGGAAGCCCTCTAGCTCTTTGCTTTCCCCAGCCTTTCTGACTCCCTCTGAAGTTGGATTTGCATGAATCAATTTGAAACAGAGAAGCTGACAGCCTGAGGCTGTGGAAGAGAAGAGGGGAGAGAGGTTTGAAGGGCATCTCCGGTCAAGAAAAGGAATACATAAAGCAGATGATCTGAAAGCCTTTTAAGACTTTGAGACACAGAAGAATTCAAGTAATGATTTGTGCATGAGTAAGAAAGAAGAAAAAATGGTTTGCACTCTTTATCCACACCTCACTCATTTCATGAAATTCCATCACTTAAATAGCAAGAAGATATGCCTCTTGCTGAAAAATTATAGCTTCTTCCCTCCAACATGGAGGGACACGAGGAGATGAGCCACATGGAACACTATGTCTTTGGAGCAGGAGAGAATATGGGAACAGCAGGGAACTATGGATCACCAACAGGTTTCGTTGTGAATGTGGTGGAGGAGGTGGAAATGGAGAGAAAGGTTAACCTCAGCTATTTATGGGATTAGAGTCTTCAAACAAAAAGAGAGAAGACTGGAGACTGAAGGGAGAAAAGGCCTGGGTCTGAAGGAAGGGAAACCAGTCACCACATGAGACGGGGAAGAATCAATTTCCAGATAGTCAATGAAATTCTGGTGGATCAAATTAAATTCAAATAATCAGACATTTACTAAGCTTACTTATTATATGCAAGGTAAAATGACATTACGCTTAGGAAGTTTATGAACTAATGGGATCGAGGGGAAGGAGTATAGATCTTAAGTTTTCTGGGCTTCATTTGCTTCATATATAAAGTGAAGGGGTTGGAGTAGGGGATCACTAAGGCAGGTCCTTTTTATAAACCTCAATATCCTAGGATCTATGAATAAAGGCTATGATTAACTCAGCACAGAGTGAGGACAGAGGAATTTCCTCATTTAGAAATGCTAACCAGGGGGCAGCTAGGTGGCGCAGTGGATAGAGCACCGGCCCTGGATTCAGAAGGATCTGAGTTCAAATCCGGCCTTAGACACATAATACTTACTAGCTGTGTGACCTCAGGCAAGTCACTTAACCCCATTGCCTAGCCAAAAAAAAAAAAAAAAAGCTAACCAAATAGAAAGCACCATCAGATTGGCCATTTTTTTTTTTTTTAAATTGGAATAAGCTTATCCTTGGTTCCTGATGGGCTGATGGGCTGGCTGCAAGCCTCTGCTGTCTCTCAGACATGGTGGGGGTGGGGTGCAGAGTGATCAATGCTTACACACATAGCCAGCCTCAGGAGTGTCCAGAGGGGACCCAGGAAAAAGTCTGTTTCTGTATAATGGTGGGCCAACATGAATTCAATTGATTTCCGTTTAATTTACTTCAATTTAGTTCACTTCAACGAAACAAAAGGTTTATACCCTTTATCCCCACATCACTCCTTTAAAAAAAAAATCCACTCATTTAATTAGCAAGAAGAGAACCTGCAGTCTGCAAATCTCAGCTTTTGCCCTCTAGCCCAGACATACTTGAGAAACTACTTAAATTCAAGAGCGCACTGTCCTTGGGGCCTGTAAGAGACATCGAGAAGCTCCTATGGTGGTAAGCACTGAGCAAGGCCCTATGCTGTATCCAAAGATCTGTAATCTCTTGAAGATGTACAGCCTCCTTGAGGAAATTCCAGGAGGAAGAATTTCAGATCCAGCACTTTTTATCTTACGAGTAGCAATCTTTTTGATTAGGTATGTGGAGAAGAGGCATAGAACTGTCTTGGGGTAGAGATCCAGCAGTAATTTTTCTTTTTCTTCAATTTTGAACTTAACAAATACCCTGTAAGATGAGCACTTCCATATACAAAGTAGAATTTAAAAAGAGGACTGGGCATGAAGCTGTGAATCTGTATTGTGAATAGCTTGTTTTTCTTGTTATACATATCACCAATTCAACATGATATTTTCAAAGCTGTCCTGGTTGTCTGTGTTTCCTACTGACCATCCTTCTGTTCTTGTCTGTGCATTTAAAAATCTCAGCAATAGCTTTCGACACTGCTTGATAAATAGGCATCATTCTACTCTCCAGTATAATGGGCAGACCATGGCTCTTCCCTTTCCTTATTCTCTTTGACTGGTAGCACAGATGACATAAGCTATGAATCCTCATAAAATTGCCATGGGTGAAAGAGGTGGTGATACCCCATCACCTACCAAAAAAACCCCTACAAAAAACAGGCTTAGAAATGACTGCATCCTGGTGGATTCCAGTCACGATCCTTAAATATAAATCTTATAATAGCCATGTTCTATGTGGTGGGGATGCCACCCATTCTCAGGACTAGTTGAAGCTTGACTCTCAGATGAGACAAAGAGTTTTTTTTTTAATTTTTAAGGCAATTGGGGTTAAGTGACTTGTCCAGGGTCACACAGCTAATAAGTGTCATGTTTGGTCTGAGGCCAGGTTTGAGCTCAGGTCCTCCTGACTTCGGGGCTGGTGCGCTATCCACTGCACCACCTAGCTGCCCCGAAAGAGAGAGAGGTTTTTAAGACTTCTTGAAAGTATCAATTGGCCATCTACCCCAGGCCCAAAGCTTTTGATCATCCTCTTCTCCCCTCCCATCCATACATAGTGATTTCCCTGTCCATGGCTACAAGGAGCAGAATTCTGTTTCTCTCTTTGCCGGGGAGATATCATTGAAATCTCTAGCCATTGTCTCCATGGCAACCAAAAAAAAAAAAAAAGGATGCTAACGCCCTTGGTCAGGATAGAACCAATGTAAAAAGTGTTTAGAAGGATGACACAGGAGAGAGAAGAAGGAAAATAAGTGGAGTAGGTGGAGGTGTGGGAATACCTGTACTGTGCTGTTATTGGCTTCAGGCTTATAGGCCAAGCTTAAATACAGATTCCTATGAACAAGGACCATAAGATTGAACAGTGGTTTAGAGGGAATTTGAGCAAAATCATGGACCTTTGCTCTTCAAATCTCTTTATAAAGGAGAATTCTGCTTGCTTACTTACAAAATAGAATCAGTATAAAACTGAATTTGCAAGAATTTTTTCTGAGCTGGTTTATCCCTCAAAGTGAACAAACAGTGAGATATCTGTTCTTGTACCCAGCAATGAGTTCTTCATAGCACATGAGAGACCTGGCTTATTGTGATAATTATTATAACATGACATTATGACATATCTCCTACAGATATGTATAATATATAGTTATATACTATCATGAAACTTTGAGTTTATATACTCTGGAACAATAGTGCTGATCATATCTTATTTACTCTGAGATTAATCCTTTGAGGAAACCAGGGGCCAGCTATTATTTATTAATATTTTAATTAATAATAAAAATCAAATAATCAGTATATTAATAATTAATTAATTACTAATTATTAAATTTTTACATTTTCAAATGATACAAAGAGTCCCTAAAAAAGAGAGAGGTTAAATGACTCACTGATATCACACAGCTAAATACCACCTGAGGGAGAAGGAAAACTAGAGCTATTAATCCCTACTCCAAAGCTATTCCCACTTGGCTTTAGGAGCTGGAAATTTTCCTCTCTCCCCCTCCCCCCAAACCAGGCAGCAGGACTGTGTACCTCCACCTTCTGGGTTGGGATAGGAACCTTTCTCCTCATTTTCATTGGGCTGGAGGTCATCCACGTTGATCTAGGCAGTCAAGAGAAAGAAGGGTGATGGATCTAGTTAGACAATGTTCCATGGATGTGAAACACCTGAGACAGCCATTTAAATCCTCTAACAGAAACTGTGTGAGCACTTGACTCAGAAATAATCAGTTTTGTTTTACATTTCTTCTACTAACATCCTCAGATCATGGTGTGGAGGTGACTGAGGTTCACAAATGTTATGCCAGAAGGGTACAAACTAAGTCAGACATAACTAAGCTAGAAATGCTTCAGGCACAGGTCTATTGATCAAAGACCGGTGTGTTTGAGGTTAAAAGATTGGTTAGTAAATATTTTGGCCAAAGCACCTCATGAAATGTCTACTAAGGTGCAGAGGGGCTGTGATTTGTATCAGTGAAGGGACTACCCACATTGGTGAAATCATAGCTCCTTGGAAGTACTGGATTTTGTTTATAAGCTGTGTGCTTTAGATTTATGATTTCATCAGTATGGGGAATTGCCAGTGTGGTAGAGCTCTTCATTGATGGAGTTACTTATGAGTAATTTACAGTTTTAGAGAGTTGCCTGGGACTCTTACAGGTTAAGTGATTTGCCCTTACATAGCTAGTACGTATCAGAGGCAGGTCTAACATCCATGTCTTCCTGATTCCAAATCCATCGCTCTATCCATCATGCCACACTGCGTCTCTTGCATGATAAAGTCAAAATGCACTTGGATTTCCTTCCCACTTTGTCATTCTAATTCCTCTGCCCTCTACCCAAATACCAGTTCCATCTTAAAATAAAATCTCTCTTGTGCCTTCCTTCTCATTCCCTTAGATCAGGCTCCTTTAGTCTTTTCTATGTTCTTTTGATTGACCTAACTTGGAAAGATTGAGTCTGGGTTCAGCTGCAGCAGGGGCATGTAACTTAGTACCCCAAGGGGGAAGGTACTGGTGCACTACTCACCTTGGTGGTGGGTGGAGACTCCCCATCAGCAGTAATTGACTTTAGCTCAATTTTCTCCTCCTTAGTCTCCTCCACAGCTGGTTTTTCCACCTCTTGCTTCTTTTCAGGGCTGGCAGTCCTGGCCAGTCAACAAGAGGAAGAACGAATGAATGTTTACTTGAGTGACCTCAAGTCAAGACCTGACTCTGGCTTGCTGAAGGCTAAGGTAACATAGAACCTACAGGGATCTGTGTCTGATACATCTGGATTCCTTCCTTTGTTGCTGTGTATATAGCACCATTCTGGGCAATTTGAAGCTGGTTACTGGGTCTCTAAGGTCCCCAGACACTTGTCCTCTGGCCACACTCCTTTTCTATTAGTTGGAACTTCACTGGCTTCAGCTGAACACCTCCTTTTGATTTTTTAACCTGCTGCTGAATTGTGGTTGATATGCTAACAAAGGTAACAGGTAGTAAGTCTGCTCAGTGCCTGGAAAATGCATGGGTTACCACCCTCAATCTGGGCTGGAGCAATGGAGGCATCCAGGATTCATGTGGTCTACTTTTTTTTTTTGCCTGTTTTGGTTAGACAAAAGGGCATGACTTGTTCTCTCTTCACAAGATGAATTTAGATGCAAGATAAGCAGTCACTTGAAGTAACTGTTTCACTCCCTTCCCCCTCCCAGACGGTGCCCTCTCTAATGTTTCTGTGGTCTTCTTTTATAGCTCTGCTGCAGATTTGGATAATGGCTAGAGTTTGGGGGTGTCTGGGAAATGCAACTTCCTTGTTGAGAGCATAGTAGCACCTCAATGATGGGAGTTTCTGGTCAGCAATTAGGAGCAGACCCACTGGTTGTAGAAAGTAAATACTCCTAGAACTTTTATAGGATAAACAGAAAAACCAGATAAACAGAGGATAAATAGAAAAACAGATAAACAGAGAGTCCAATCTCTTCTGTCATTGTCTGAGAAATACTGGAAACTACCTCCTAAGATCTGGACTCTCAAAGGTACAGTGCCTGGGCTTCTGTCTTGGTTCAGTTAGACAGTTACCTGGCTAGCTTCTTCCTCTCTTTTTCCTCCTCCTCTTCTTTCTGGGCAGATGTGAGGCTCTCAGCATCAGCTAGATTGTCCACAGCAATGGCCAAGAATACATTCAGTAAGATGTCTGTTTTTTACATTAGTAAAGGAAATGATTCTTGGAGTTGGAGTTCTTGGTTAGCAGAGACTAGCATAGTGGGTAGAGGCAATGAGAATACAGGAATGAAGTTTCTCTCACCATGGTACAGTTGTTTAACACTGAAAACCCATGGTAATGTCCTTAACAATCTCTGGCTTCCACTCCAAGGGATCTGGCACCCAGCTATACCTACCTTGACAAATAGCTGCCTGGCCTCTACACACTTTGAAAGACCTCAAAAGTGTGGTAGTCAGGCTAGCCTGTAGGCTCTTAAGGGTTAAAGTAGCAAATTGAGAATATACTCTTTAATCATTTAGCCTCAATTTAGGTTGTTCAACTGGCTGCTGGTGATTCAGTGGATAGAATACTGGACTTGGAGTCTAGAAGACCTGAGTTTGAATTCTGCTTCAGACAACAACTTTTCTCAGCCTCAGTCTCCTCATCTTTAAAATGAGGATAATAATAACACCTACCTCACAGGGTTGTTGTGAGGATCCAGTGAGATCATATATGTGAAGTGTTCTACATACCTTAAACCACTATATAAATGCTAGCTATTATTATTTTCCCACTGAGGTGACTGATACAACTGACGCTATATAAAATGTCATCATTAACAGTGCATAGTCTCCTAAAAAGTTATCTAGGTGGTCACTGAAGAGACCACCTGAAATATCTCTCCCAACTCCTTTTACAATGTGAAATCTTAAGGGTATAAAGTCAGGGTCTGACAATTCTGGAAGGTACTTTTTGCCTGATGGTGCAGGGAGAACTGCACATTTTAATACCTTTCTAGGAAAGGAGAAGGAGTGTCATTATTGAGCAACATTTCTGGAAACTCTACCCCATGGCCTGGTTCATGGGGATGAAGAAGATGATGATAACAAAAATGGCTAGCATTCATATAGCATTTACTATGTGTCAGACACTGTGTTAAATTCTTTACAAATGTTTTCTTATTTGATCCTCATAACAACCTAGGTGCTATTATGATCCCCATTTTTATAGATGGGGAAACTGAGGCAAACAAAGGTTAAGTTACTTGCCCAAAGTCACACAGCTAGTATGAGTCTGAGGCTGGATTTGAACTCAGGTCTTCTAGATTTTAAGTCCAGCACTCTATCTACTAAGCTATCTAAATGCTAAGCCTTCAGGTGAAGACAGTTCAACCTTGCCAGTGACTGAAACTACATGGAGTTTCAGGGGAAAAAGGAATAAAAAGAACTAGTAAAACAAGTTGGGAGGGGAGTTGACTCAAGGAAGGTGGAACATTTATCATTAATTGAGTATCCTTAACAGCACAGCTCTGGCACAGAAGCCATGGATCAGTCAAGGTAAGTCGATCTGCAACCTCACCTAGTCTTCTAAGTTACCACCAAGGCACAGCTCCACTTGGCCTTTTGTTTAGGAAGTCCCTTCCTCTATCTGAGCTTTCTATAGATCTACAGGTCCATACTAGAGTGTACCCTACATTTGCTGGGCTTTGGTTTTAATTCCTTAACTATAGGAAGACCATGAGAGAGAATGGCATAGAACTAGAAGGCTAACAGTCCTGGGTAGCAAAGGTGCGTCCATTGGACAATTTGAAAGGGTTTGGGGAACAGAGAGAGTGGAATTGCAGAGGCAGTGGCAAAGGATACAGTTTCCACAGATGAAAAGGATGATGAAGTAAATACAGACTAACATCCCTGGAAAAGAGGGCCCTCCGTAAGCCATGATCCCATCATACATCACCGAATTCCAGTCCTCCCCGGTCAGGATCTGAATGATACATTCCCACCAACAAAGGACAGATACATCGTTAGACTGTGCAGAGCAAACCCACAATCATTACCCTCCCTTCAGCCTTTGCCTGTTAGGAAACAGATACCTGTCTATCACATCCCTGTCCTGACTGCCAAATACTTCCCCAGTCCTTCAAGGAGCTATCCAAGGGGGCTGAGGGGGGTTAAAAGTAGGTGACAAGTCCTTATGGCACAGAAAGAAGTCTGAGCTCTAGATTCTAGATATCTGACCCTATTCATAGGTGACTATTTTTATGCTAAGATTTAAAGGGTACCCTAATGGTCTCCCTGTCCCCAAAAACTTCTCACATTGCCTGCCTCAAATGACCATCATAAGCCAATCAAAGGATGATGGACCATGGAATATACCAACATTAAAACTTCCAACACTGAGACCAAGCTGTGCTGATCAAAGGCCAAGGCTGTTGACCTGTGTTCTAGCACACAGTGGAAAATGTACTGGTGGTGGTAGGGGGGATTTATTCCTGATATTTATTTCCTAGATCCCTAGGCTATTTTCAGGGCAGGAGAGGCATGGAATGCTCTATTCCCTTGGGCATGGTGATTTTTCTGCATCATTCTTAAGGGAAGGTTGGTCTCCCCACTCCTTGCAGCTGACTAGCGTCACACCCTTCATTTTCCCAGTTTGTGTGCCCTGACTGGGGCCTAGGGCATTGGTTAGTGGCTGAGGATACAATTGCTTTCTCTGTATCCTTGGGATGTTTGGGTTTCATTGTGAAGCCTCACTTTGGGCTTTGTTAAGGATGGCAGGTCAGCTTACCATAGGAGCTCATTATTGGGGCCAAATTGCCCAGAAAAGAATTTAATTTAAGTTTGTTTTGAGATCCCACCTTACTTAACAGCAAAAGGAAGAATGGGAAAATGATTACCTTGCAACTGATTATTTGAAATTTATATAGATTCTGACAGTGTTAGATCATGAGAAGGATCTATAGATCACTGAGCACAGATCCCTCATTTCTGAGATGAAGAAATCAAAACCCAGAGAGGTGGGCTGATTCCTCATCAAGTTGGTCTCACAGCAGCATAGAATCCCAGAGCTGGAAGGCAGAATTCTAACTTCCAGTCCAGTGTACTTTCTACTAAAAGGTGTAGAAGTCCCCCTTTAAATTACAAATATATTATCCTGGAAGGGTAGCACAACAGACTACAGTTTTTTAACACACTAGTAAGAATTAGTTTATGAGATTAGTTTTAGTGGTCCAGAAAAGTGTGAGGCCCCAGGCCAATTTTGAGAAGAAGACAATTTCTTATGATTAGGACATTTTTTTGGGAGGGAAGTCAGACCTCAGGGGATCACTACAATGGAGGTCTCTGGGCATCTACAGTTTCTTGCATAAGAAAATGAGCCTACAAGGCTAGACAATGGGAAGATTGTCATCATACCATGTTGATCATCACAGACTCTCAGGGTTGAGTGGGACCTCAGAGGATAGCTTGTCTAACCTGAACCCAAAACAACACTACCACCTACAACACACTCTGCAAGCGGTCATTCAGCTTTTTCTAGAAGCTTTGCAGTGAAGGGAAACAGCTGAGGCTGCCTATTCCACTTTTGTAGAGCTCTGATGTTTAGGAAGGTTTATTTTTTAAAATCAAGCCTAAATTGTTTTTTCACCATCTTCCACTCATTGCTCTTTGTTCTGTTCTCAGAGGCAAAGAAGAGGAAGTTGAATCTTTTTAGACATGAGAGACCTTCAAGTATTTGAAGACTACTATTATTATCCTGCTAAGTTATCTCCATTTCCTTCAATGGATCTCCACATAGATATAATCTTGAGACCCTTTACCATCATGGTTGCCTTATTCTGAGCAATCTCTAATTGATCAACGTCCTTCTTAGTATCTGACACCCAGAATTGAACCTGTAACTTACAGAAAATACATTTTTTCTTTGACTTACTATTTGCAATTATTATGGAATTACTTTCTCCTTCTAGGGTGGATTTGGGGGCATCTCTAGATCTACAACATTTTTTCATACTAGCCCATATGTTCTTTGGTTTATTCATCTCTCTAAATTTGTTTTCCCAGTTGGCACTTTGGGCCTGGGCCAGCCTCCACCCCCTTGCTATTCTTTAGAGTGTGGTGATCAGCTTTGCTTGGTATTGCCTGGTTTTCTGTGCTAACCTCCACCTTCTAAGGTTACCTCCTTGAACCAATCTTAGAGTTTCTGAGTACTGGGCCTTTAGGATCCTCAATGCCATCTCAGGACAGAATGCTGAGGACCTCAAAGCTCCAGGAATCTTTGTTGTCCCTATCTGCACATTGTCACACAGCATTAGCACTGCAAGTCTTTGAATATAGTGGTCACCTAATACTTGGGACTGTCTCCTTCTCCACTACTCTCATCAATAGTTAGTAGAACCCTTGACCCATGCTCTCTTCAAGAATGCTGTAGATCAAATCTAGTCAAAATGGAAAAGTAGGCGATGCTAGTTTGTAGAGCAGAATGAGTACTATACTAAATTTTAAGTCAGGAAGGCCTGTGTTCCAGTGCTGACTCTGACACATATTAGCTATGTGCCTCTGGGCAAATTACTTACCCTTTCTAAAACTCAATTTACTTAACTATATAATAGAGATAATAATACCTGGAATCCACACCTCACAGGGCTGTTGTAAGGTCAAAATGAGATAAACTTGTAGAAGGTGCTTTGAAGCTTTTCTCATAAGCAGGATGTGTGAGAAGAATAGAATACAAACATGGAGACATCAGATGAACTTCACTTTTATCAGATACAGATGAAGAAAGAGCAAATGCACACAAACAGTTTGGTGTGAAATATATTACATTTAACGAAGAAACAAGTAGGGATGATGGAGAAGAAGTTAAGAGGGAATGAGTTTGTTTTTGTTCAGTTGTTCAATCATGTCCAACTCTTTATGACCCTGTGGACCATAGCACACAAATACTGTCCAGGGGTTTTCTTGGCAAAGATACTGGAATGGTTTGTCATTTCCTTCTCCAATGGATTAAAGCAAACAAAAATTAAGTGACTTGCCCAGGGTAGCTACTACTTTTTCAGATGTGGGTTAGACTAGATGGCTGCTACGGTCCCTTGTAACTAAAATTCTGTGATTCTGTTTTAGTCGAATACAAGATGGGTGTCAATAATGTGATATAACAACCCCAAAAGTTAATACAGTCAGATTGCATTAAAATGGGTTTAAAAGATTGGGCCTGCTATGTAATCTGCTTTGGTCAAGTAACATGTGGAATCTATTATTATTTTTAAAAGCAAGAGGTATGAAATAGATATTAATGGTTTTATGTATTATCATCTTTCTGTGTTCTGCTATGTTTAGGAAAATGCTCATTTTGGGAGGCATTTAAAATTAGACTAAAAATAAACTCAAAGAGAAAGATTTTATAGAATGGGAAAGGTACCACAGCATAGTTGTATTTACATATTTGAAGGGCTGTCACATGGAAAAGGGATTAGACTTGTTATATCCTCACAGGGCAGATTAGGACCAATGGGTAGAACTTACAAAGATACAAGCATATTTTGTCTTGGTGCTAGGAAAACTTTCCTAACAATTACAGTTGTGTAAAAGTGGGAGGTCCTGGGGCAGCTAGGTGGCGCAGTGGATAAAGCTCCGGCCTTGGAGTCAGGAGGACCTGAGTTCAAATGTGACCTCAGACACTTGACACTTACTAGCTGTGTGACCTTGGGCAAGTCAATTAACCCTGATTGCCTCACCAAAAAGAAAAAGAAAAAAAAGAAAAGAAAAGAAAAAAAAGTGGGAGGTCCACCTCAAGAGTTAGTGGGTAAGTCTTCAAAGCAGAGGCTACATGGCCATTTGTCAACTTCGCTACAATAGAGATTCCTTTCCAGTACAGGTGAGAGTAGATGGCTGTTGAAATCCTCTCCATATCTGAAATTCTACAATTCTGTGACTCTGACTAGAAAAGGGTAAATGAACTGAATTTCAAAAAAGGGAATAACTTTTGACCAGTGAATTTGACTTTTACTCCTGGTAAAATTCTAGAACATATTATTAAAGGGATAGTTAGTGAATGTCTAGAAAAGGAAGTAGTGATGGTTTTATCACACCAGACTCATCTCATTTCCTCTTCTAAAACAGATTAATATAATGGGAGTCTTTTAAAATTTCCTTGTATTTTTCCGCTGACTTATCTTCAAAGTCATGAGAACTCCCAAAGAGGAAAACTCTATTGTAGCACTAACCAATCTCTGTATAAATTGTTCTATGCTAAAAAGGTTCTAGGCTTTATGCTAAAATCCCGAATGGACAAGTTTGAGCATTTATTCTAGGGCAGAAGACCACTCTAAGACGCACTTTGAGATGATAAAAGTAAAAAATCCTCTCTATGCTCTTCTCTGATGATTATTTTCTTCTCCTTGCATATTTTAGATTTTCTTACTTTCTCTCTAAACAACTCCTTATTGCATTTCATACTCACCTGGTCCTAGCCTCACATTTTGCTGAGTTTTGGAAACCAGAATATTGAATGGAGTTCCTTTCTGGGAGGTCTCTATTAAATTTTCTCAGAAATAAGTTTTACAAACAGCAGTAGATAAAGTAAAAGCCCTTCCTGATTGTAACCTCCCTTTTTCTTAAGAGTAACAGTGAAAAATCCCGTGTTAAGGCTGACATTTATCTTTATATCCTGGTTTAATCAATTAATTACACTATTGAAATATTGGGGTAAATGAGGTTTCTGAGCCTTTACTTATTTATGTATTAAATTTTCAGTCACTTTCTCCCCTCTAAGATAATCACTTGAAGAAAAACTACCCACTAAGAGAATCACTTATCCTCAAATAGTTAGGTGACTATTAAATTATTTGCGAGTCCAAAGTTTGCTTCTTCTCCTGAAGAACTTAACAGAGGTACTTGGAAGTAAGTAAAAAAAAAAATGCATACTTGCACCATCCTGACTTAGGGTAAGTCAAAACTGGTATTGGCTTATCCCTATATATTTGCCCTGGTTAAAGGTTATATTTTCCCTTCCCTTCCTTGGAAGTGGAATCTTGTCACCCTGTTCGTTGGGGAGATCCTCCCTGATAGAAAGAGCTTACATATATATAAGAATCCTTGTGCTTTCTTTGTGTTTTGTTTATAAAATTTCTCTCTCTCTCCCCCTCCCTCCCCCCTCTCATTAAACTAGACTGGCACAAAGTCCAAGAGAAACAAACTTTTGAGTTCTTTTTGCTTAGAAATAGATCTTCCTTGTAATTTTTAAAGGAGATGGACAGATCCCTCACTAAATACTGCACCAATGAATTCCTTTATGCTATAGTTTCTAAATACCTTTATGCTCAACTCTCTACATGATTTTAGTTGGGAAAACAGTTGTACCAGAATTAGAAAATGTATACACATGAATACTTTGGTACTTTGCTTCTGTTAAAGTATCCCAGAGGCATTTTGTTCATTATTATCCTTGAATTCCTAAGGCTAAGGGGCTCCTCCTTTTCTACAAAAGTTTTAAATCAGTAGATAGTGTGTTCATCTGAAGAATCCTCCTTAAAGATTCAGGTCCAAGGTCCATGAAAACAATGAGCATAGGTCACACAAGCAGGTGAGACATCTTTTGTAAATAGGGAAGCCTTTATCCTTGAGTCGGTGCCTCCTCATGGATGTGCATTCCATTTGTTTGCACTGATACTGGTAGGATTAACAGAGGGCCAAAAGCTAGAGGTAGGCCAGAAAGCCCATACCCCATACTGGAAATGGTCAGGGACCCTGACCAGTCATTTTCCTATATGTTTCTGTAAGATCAAGGCCAAGCCCTCCATACTCCCATACTCAAAATATTCTTCCAATAAATGTTTCTTCGGAGGTATAATTTTTGTGCATATACTGTCTTTCATTTTTTCCAGTGTGGCCACTGATACATCACACAACACACACACACACACACACACACAATGAGTCACCAATTTAGAAAGCAGTTATTCTTAAATAGTGGAGAAAACAGACAAAAGGGATAGATCACTACTTTTGCCTGAAATAACTCCCCAATCCCACAAAAATAATTATTTAACTCATAGATTACGGGAATATCATTGATAAAGTTTTCTCAAATTTTAGTAAAGCATTTGACAAATTCTCTCATGCTCTTCTTATAGTTGATGGAGAGATGTAGCCTGAACAATAAATATACAATTTAAGTGGATTTAGAACTGATTGAGGGGCTGGATCTAGAGCATTGACATTCAACTTGGAATAAGCTCATTTGTGGCTTACCCAAGGGATTTCTCCTTGTGCTGTTTAATATTTTCATCAATGATTCAGATAAAGATATAGATGGCATATTTATCAGATTTGTAAATGATACAAACCTGGGAGGAATAGTTAGTACTTTGCATGATGGAATCTGGGACCAAGAATATTTCAATTAGCTAGGGCATAGGGCTGAGTCTAATAAGATGAAATTTAACAGGAATAAATATAAAGCCTGATACTTAGGTTCCAAAAATCAGCATCACAAATACTAGGTGTGGGAGACCTGACTACATTTCACCTTATCTGAAATAGATATGGGGACTTTCAGTGGATCAATATGACCCACAGTGTCATATGGCAGCCAAAAAAGCTAATGCAATATTACATTACATTGAGAGGCATAGCATTCAGGACAGGGAAATGATAATTATGCTATACTCTGCCCCAGACAGACCACATTTACAATATTGGTTCAATTCTGGCATCCTATTTTTAGGAGGAACATCGACAAACTGGAAAGCATTCAGAGGAAAGTGACCAGAACGGTAAAGGGTGTCAAGATTATGCCACATATGGTGTGGTTGGAGAAACTAGAGCTTGGAGAAGAGAAAATATGATCTAAGAGACAATAATAGCTTTCTTCAAGAATCTGAAGGACTGTTATATGTGAGAGTGACTAGGATTATTCTCCATGGCCTCAGAGAACAAAATGTTTTTACAGAGGCAAGCTTGGGTTTGCTATGAGAAAAAAATTCCTAAAAATAAAAGATAATAAAAAATGGAATGAGCTGCTTCAACGATAATGAATGGGTTGCTTTTCACTAGAGGTTTTTAAGCAAAGGCTGGATGACTGCTTGTTGGTTCATTAGAGAAGTGATCCTTTTCTGGTATAGGTCCTTTCTCATTCTTCGATTCTGTGACTCCATAAAAACAGACTTATCTAAGCTTTGTAGCACCTAATACTATGCTCTGCCCACACAGAGTAAGTACTTGATAAATATCAGCTGGATTGAATTGAGCAGTATGGCATATAGTAGAAAGTTTTTTTGTATTTGGAATCAGAAAATCTGGGTTTGAATCTTTGAAGTATCAATTTCTTCATCTATACGATGAAGAAATTGGAGTAGATGACCTCTATAATGCAATTCATGCACAAGTCAAGACATCCTTGTGATGTCATTGGTCCTCTTTGAGGATGAAGGTCAAACAACAACAATCTCTTCTGGATCTAAAGTCCTATGAAACCAATATCCTGTGAACTGATGAGAGCAGAAGGTAAGAGAGACACAGAAGACAGTGGGTGCCTGAAGCGTTTGTACGTGTTCAGAACATAATTAGAATAAGCCTTGCCTAAACCTCATGCTTCTCAGTGTCATGGGCCAGTCCAAGTACTCAGGTCATTTATCTTGTACTGGTTGTTTTTTACTTATATGTTTATATTGACACAAGGCAAGACTCCTGGATCACTTGGGAACTGTAGGGGGTATTTTCTAAAGTCTAAAGACCCCTTTCAGGGGGAGTCTTTGGATCCTTTCTCCAGCAATGATATATTTCCAGTCAAATTTCAATCTGGAATAAGAATGGAGTACATACCAACTACACACCATAGAAGAGGAAAAGTGAATAAGAAAGAATACTGATGGGACATACAGGCAATAACTGAAAAACTGTCATGTTACTTTATGCATTGGAATTAGTTTAAATATAAATAATCAGTTGGTTGTATGGCCATTCACTGTTAAATTTTTAATAAAACATTTAATAAAAAGCATTCTTACTTAAGCTCAACCTCCCCCCTAAAAAAATTCCTAAGGCTTAAAAGAACCTTGGAAGAACACCTAATCCAGCCCCTTGCTTCTAGGTGGAATACAGACGACCTTGATCCTCTCTTCTGGGGCTTTTGCATCCTTTCCAAAGTCTAGGCTCAGACTAGCTTTAGGACAGGGTGGAATTCTCCAGTGGAAGGGTTCAAGGCACTCTTTGCCCCTCCTATCATTGCCTACTGATTCTCCCCACTTCAATCTCAGTGGATGAGGGCCTGTACCTGAAACACAGTGAGAAGAGACTGGGGGAAATTATCAAATGTACTCCTCCGGGTCTGCATCTCGTCAAAGTTGAACTTTCCACCAAAGAGCTGCATCCCCAGGAGAGAGAAGATGATGATGAAGAGAAAAAGGAGCAGCAGGAGTGAGGCAATTGATCGCACTGAATTCAGTAATGATGCTACCAGGTTGCTCAAGGAGTTCCAATACCTAAGGATAAAGAGAAGAGAGGTTAAAATCTTTCTTCTTTAGCTTCCCCTAATGCTTGTCCAATACCACCCTCCCCACTCCAGATTTTGACCAGGGCAGGTAATAGATAATAATTTTTGCAGATATCATAGAGGCCATGAGACAAATTTGTTTCCTCCACATTCATCTCTGAGATATGAGGCAAAAGGGTACCGGGGAAAGTGTACTTTGAGTGAATAAATAAATGAATGAATGAAAAAAAAAAGCATTTTTAAGTGCTCACTATAAGCCAGACACGTTGGTGGCTGCAAGTATTAAAAAAAGAAAAGAAAGACAGCCCCTGCTCTCAAGGAGCTTAACTTCTAATGGGAGCAGACAACACATATGAGGGAGTAATGACCAGGAAAGGGTGTTCGGGAGTCAGAAGACCTGGGTTCAAATTCTGGCTCTGCCATTTATTACCTGTCTGACTTGGGCAAGTCACTTAACATCTCTGGGCCTCACTTTCTTCATATGCAAAATGAGGTGACTGGACTACATGAATCTCTTCTAGCTTTCTATCTTGACAGTTGGTTAGGGCATAGTGCTAACAAATCCAAGGATTCTGGATCAATTCCTATACAGAACTTTAGGCTTTACACAAAGAAAAACTCTGTTCTATGGTTGAAGAATGTATCCCTTAGCCCAGCCTGCTGTCTCAAAAATATGCACTAACTGGTCACATGAGCCCAAGAGAATATGGATGGGTTAGTATTATAAGTCTATCATGCCTACTAGAAACGAAACTCAGAGCCCATGTCATATTACGAAAACAACACAATTCAGGGTGAGGAAATGAAGCTCTCCCCTGACTTGTGTGGCTTCTGTGTTTGTCCTTCGTTCTTGAAGAGGACCATGACATCAGGAAGATGATGCTATGACTTGCAAGTGAGTTGGATTTAAGTGGGGGAGGGCTGTGCAAAGTCACCAGTCTCACTTTCTCCTCCACAGCCATCTGGATCCAGTGGCCAAATATCAATCATGACAACTAGAGATGCCCCAGGATGCAGTGGGAGACCTTGGCCCTTTTAAGCTAAGGTCTTTTCAGGTTCTCACTTTGAGTGAGGCAACACCCACTTAGTGAATAAGCCTCTTTAAGAAGTGAGTCAAGGGATGGCCCCTTTAATTAAAAAAAATTCAAACTGGGAGGGGAAGACTCTCAGGGTTGCTGGTCAAAAGAGAAATGGTTACTATTTATATTGACTCTGAGCCAAGAGGTCCCAAAAAATAATCATTAAGTGGTGCTTGGTATATTTGTGTGGGGAGCGGTGGAAGTTCTGATTTTCCTATGATCACTGACCTTCGTTGTACTCTCTTCTATCCGGACTGAGGACAATAGCTTCCTTGGGCTGGAATATGTATTAATGGTCAGATGGATACCTGAAGCCTGAAGGGGTGAGTTGAACAAGGATTATTGGGTGATAGAATCGGAATTGGAAGGTGCCTTACAAGACCATTGAATGCCCCCTTCCTCCATTTTCCAGATGAGGAAATTGAAGCGAATAAAGGTCAAGTGACTTGTCCAGGGACATTCATCTAGTAAACGTCTGAGGTGGATTTGGACCTGGGTCTTTCTGACTCCAAGTTTATTCTGTGAACTCCCTCATTGGGCCCTAGAGACTCCTTGAATGGTGTCTCATCCCTGGCTCATCCCAGGATGTAGCAAAAGAGCTCTTTCTTAGTCTAGAAAAATATTCCCCTCTGTCCCCCATCCACTATTGCTCTGCCATCCCAGGCACCCCTCCTTTTGCTTCTCCTCAATCCGTTATGTTTGCTTAGCTCCCCCTACTGAAGCCATCCCTGTCCATTACTTATAGGTTGTAATTTGCTTTTGCTGCTTCAATGAACAACATGCTAAACGTCCTCATTACAACCCTCCCAGCTGCTCGGCCAGCCCTGGCACCTCTCTCCAGAGTGTATAGCTCCATATTCGGTGACAGGAACAGATGGACAACAGTTTGGGTTTAAAACACAAACTATCTCACAGCATGGAGCTGTCTCTTCTGTCTTGACCCTCCCTCAACTGGGGGCCCCTCAACTTTCTTCCTTCCTTCATTTTCATATCTTCAGTTTGCTGTTTATATGGTTTTAATTTGTGCATTTTTTCCCCTTTGTATCTTGTTTTGTAAATGTTCTTAGGTCTTTTTCATGCATCATTGCCCTCCCAATGAAATCATAGGCTTCCTGGAGAGGCAGTGTGGAAAGCTCAGTCAATGGATCTGGATTCAAACCCCACCTCCAACTCCTATGATGGTATGACCTTGGGCAAATCACTGTTTCTGTGTCTGCTTCTTCATAAGTAAAATAAGGGCACTGGACTTCTGTTGTTGTTTAGTCATTTCAGTCATGCCTTTATGATCTCTTTATGATCTCATTCGGGGTTTTCTTGGCAAAAATACTGGAGTGGTCTGCCATTTCCTCCTCCAATTCAACTGAGGCAAACAGAATGAAATTACTTGCTCAGGGTTACATAGCCAGTTAAATATCTGAGGCCCAATTTGACCTCTGGTCTTCCTGGCTTCCAGTGCTATCCACTGTGCCACCTAGCTGCCCTATATGATGCCTCCTACTTCCAAATCCTGTGGTTGTGGACAGAGTTCATGTTTTCTATTTCTTTGCACATCTCTCCTTAGCTCCCCATAACTGCATCAATCAGTTTATGGTACTCAGTGACTATAGCCCTATGGCGTGGTTTGAGAGTAGGATGGAGGCTGCAGAGGATGACAGAAGTTATTGCATAGGTGCCAGAATCTGAATCCAGGTCCCTTGAGTCCAAATTCAGGGCTCTAGCCACTACACTATGGTTGCTCTGCTCTGATGCCCACTTACTAGGATTAGCAGGCTCTTACAAAAACAGCTTTATTTCTATAGCACTCTTAAGGTTCACAAAGTGCTTCTCTCACCACTCTCTGAGGTTGGTAGCTTATATTTGTAAGCAGCATGGTTGCAACTTGTTCACAACCTGAAACAAAACACCACAGGCAAGACCAGGATTCTCTGGAGGGCATCCCTGCTTGTGCTAGGTGGTCCTGGGGGGTGACCTCTACTTTTCACTTTTTTAGAGCAGGAGAGAAGAGGCTGTGGATTGCAGCCCACTCAAACACAGATTGACTCTTGGCATCATGAGGATTCTCTCAAGTTGTTGAACAGACATTATCCAACTCTGACCGTGACAAGGACTTAGGACTGTGTTGCAGGCTGCACCTTAAAAACAAACAATAACAACAACTCTTAAACAGAAATTTGGGACATAGAGCTGTTGAAAACTAGGACAGAGCAATAGGATTCAGCTAAGAAAGGCTGGGTTGGGGGGGCCCCAGTACTCCTTTGATGCTCTTGTTTGGAGCAGGTGAAGAGATTCCATCTTCACAATGCAATGATAGAAGGCACCTTGTAAGGGCATAAATGCACACCTTTGGGGTAGACACCGCACAGGATAACAGAATTTCCGACTTAATTGCAGAAAATCCTCCTGATTCCCATTTTTAAACACTTAATGCTTCTTGTTTCCTTCTCCATAGTGCTGTTCCAACTGAGACTCTGTTTTTTGATGACTGTTATTATCTATGGATGACCTTCAGAAGGTCAAGAGCCCTTCATATTCTCTTTGCTAAAAGGGTGGGGGCCATTTCCAGTCATCATGATCCAGATCTTGCCACTGGACCCAGATGGCTCTGGAGGAGAAAGTGAGACTGGTGACTTTGCACAGCCCTCCCTTACTTAAATCCAATTCATTTGCAAGTCATGGCATCACCTTCCTGATGTCACGGTCCTCTTCGAGAATGAAGGACAAACCACAACAACTGCTTAAAAGGGTAATAAATAAGTGTTAGTGGAGTATGGACTTGGGTCCCCGGGCTTGGCAGGAAGAGACCCGCTTATTCATGCACCTCTCTCCTGCAACCTTTTTCCTTCAGAGATATAGTAGAAGAAGGGAAAAGGAATTTCCTGAGGGGAACTAACTACCTACTTGAGGAGTACCTTGACCAAACGCCTTAGACAGAAGGGGAAGAACTCTTGGGGCTATGTTGAGTTCCTGAATCAAACAGAAGGCAGAGCAGCAAAAGAATGAGCAGTAAGGTGGAGAAGCAAGGCCAGAACTTACCCTTCCTTAATTGTTAGATTTATATCTGATATTCCCAAGGGAAATCCTGAGTGTGTCCATAACCAAGAAAGGTACTGTAATGCCTACCAAATTAAACCTGGACCATGTAAAGATTCTGGGCCATGGAACAATTATAAGTATTCTAAAAAGAGTAATGATATAATAAATATATAATTAGACAAATAATTATATAATAAATTAATAAAATTATTACATTAAAACTATATTTTGAGAGGGGCTTTATAATGTCTAAAGTATTTTCATGCTAATTACTTGAATTATCCCTCTAGCTGTAATTTACATCTTTTTCCAATTATCCTGTATTTTCTCTGTTTGCATCTGTTTATATGTTGGATCTCCCAGGAGAATATGGCTTCATTGAGGACAGGCATTGGTTTGTATTTCTGCCTTTATCTTCCTAGTATCTGGCACATTTGGGGCAGTGAGATGGTACAGTGGATAGAAAGTTCAAATGCAGTCTCAGACACTTCTTACCTATGTCACCCTAGGCAAGTCATTTAACTCTATTTGCCTCAGTTTCTTCGTCTGTAAAATGAGCTGGAGAAGGAAATGTCAAACCACTCCAGTATCTTTGCTAAGAAAACCTCAAATGGAGTCATGAAGAGTCAGACATTCATGAAATGGTTGAATAACATCAATAATCTAGTACAGCGGCCTATGCATGTTGCAAATGTTTGCTGAATTGTATCAAAGAAAGATAATTAAGAAGGGACTTGTGAAAACACATTAAGATCCACCCCTTTCCCATCCCCTATTTATGTTATATATCACAAAATAATATTAGAGCAGTTCTTCAGTCTAAATACTGTGGTCTAATCTAAATTTTTCTTATCTATCTTAATTTAATTATCAATTT